CCAAACATAATCATGATTATTATATAATGATTATGTTTGATATAAGGTGTTATTTAAAGTTGGTCATAAGAAACAAATCGTTTCTGTTTATATTTGGGATGATGATGATGATGATGAGTAAGACAGGATATGAAGATCAATTTTACGCCTGACGAGAGAATAATTTTTTTGAAATTTTTTTTTTTGGTTTCGGTTTTGGGATCAACATAATTGTTGGCCACAATGATAAAAATGGTTTCTTTTTTTGTTGATCTCCTCTCTTGACATTTGCATATGAGAAACATGTAGAAACAAAATATTTTGAGTGAATCGTACGAAAAAAAATACATTTTTTTTCACTACAACTATGGCAGTGAGATATCCACCGTTGATGATTGCATGGACCAAGAAACAAACAAATTATATTCATTCATCCTGTGTTTCATTGTAATTGAAAAAAATCATTGTTTCTCATACAAAATGGCCATTGTGTAGTGAATATTGTTAGATTATTATTATTATTATTATTTTGTAATTCAAATTCTCCTGATTTAAAATGATGGTGATAATAAATTTATCAATCGAAATCACAACAAAGAGGGGATTGCAATAACGAAAAAAAATCAACAACAACAACAACAACAATCTGAATCCGACCAAATGAGGGTCCGAATATGGGCCAGATAAATTTGGATAAATTTCTGTCAAGGGCAACAAAATCATTATTACGACACATATACACGCGACATTTGTTTGCATATACTCATCAAAAAGATACACAATATTTTATATGTCATCGAGTTTATTATTGTCATCAAGATCGCGTGTGTCTGTGTTTGGCAAAAATTTTAAAACATATTAAAAAAATTTTATACAATCCATACGAATTCTTGTGATGATGTTCGGTTGGTTATTTGGTTGGTTGGTTGGTTGGTTGAATGGCCAGTATTCAATCACTATCATATGTGTATTGAATAATTTGACAATGACAATTTTTGTTGTGTTCTCAGTAAGACACGTGGCTAAATTTTTCTACTTTTTTTCATTCTCTCATTTTCTGGGCCCCATTGTTGTTCAATGAGAAATAGACGATGCACAAGGCCCAAACGAGCGCGTGCTCAATGAACTTCTAGTGTTACTAAGACACATGAACAAACACATATTATATATGGTATATGCATGATCATGAATAGATTAATGAATGATGATTATGAAACACACATCATAACAAACTTTATCATGAAAACAATATAACGGGGAATCGTTTTTTTTTCTACATTAACAATAGGAACAAAAGAATGGGAAAAAAGGTGACATAGGTCCTAGTCAACTGACTATTTTCATTTTTTCTGGTTGGTTATATAGTCCAATAAACTTTGGCCCAGTAAATCATATTGTTGTTGTTGCAATTTTTTTTTTTTGGTCGATTCAATACAATCTAATATTTTTTATTGTATTTGATCATTCTTCTATCTGTCCATTCACATCCATATATACATCAATACATCCAATAAGTCAGGTCAGGTTGTTTTGTTTTCCTCGCTCTCATTATTATGTTTCATTTGGCACAAACACACATAGTGAAATGACTGACGACTAGCCGCCTCGTGATCTGAAGACAAATTGAGTCTTTTTTTCCTGCTATGAATTTAGATTGATAATAATATCAAGAATGACTTGGTTGACTGTTTTTTTTTTTTTTTGATAAATATGTGTGTTGTCCATATCGGTGATCATTGATCAGATCAATTTTTCCATCTATATTACAGTATAGCGAAACCATTTCTAACATTTTGTTTTGATTAGATATATCGATTATAATGATGATCATTTTGTTCAGATAGTGTCATTCAATCATTTTTTTTGTTCGACATTTCAATTGATGATGATAATTATGATGACCGAATGAATGATGATGAATCGATCCAATTCTTTTCATTTGTACCGACCGGTTTTTTTTTGAAGCAAAAAGAGATAAAAAAATTCACTAAACATGACTTGACTTGCACACAATAAAATATGAATGAATTGGCCACACAAAAAATGACACGGAATCGACGACAATTTTGTTTCGTTTTTGTTTTGAATACACCAATCAACTAACCGATCGACAAACAAGAAAACAAACACGAACATTAACTCTCTTTCATTCAAAAGTAGATTACCTGATCACATATGTAATTTATACCAAAGGTTTTGTTTGTTTTATTGTCGAGGTTTTTATTGTTATTTTTGTTGTCATATATAATATAACAATTTGAAATAGAATCATTCAATCATGAGAAAATACGATCTCATCACATGATTATAAACATAATCATCATCATCACGACAGAGATGATTGCAAAATTGTTTCAGACAAAATAAAAAAAAAAGGTACGAAATGAGCATTGTAACGATAGTGAATGACATCTCAATCTGTATGAATTGAAATTGTTAACGCAGACAAATAAGAAATTCATACAAAATTAGATAATAAAGTATAAGGAAAAACAGACAAACACACAATGAGTAATTTAGTGTTCATGATTATATTGTTATCTACCAACGGATTTGGCCGACCATGATTATGGAAAATACAAACATGAAAATCAAAATGAATCTCATCTCATATTTTTGTTTCCTCAATTTATGAAATAAAACGGAAAAACATTTCTATTATGATAATTGGGCAATATTGTATCGATTGATAGCATGCGTCTATGTGTTTTTGTTAATGGTGAATCTTCTTTATATATAAATATTTTGATTTATAATAGAGAAAATCAGAATCAATGATTTTTTTCTCTGTATTTTTTGATAAGAATACCCAACATTGAATAAAGAACCGTAAAAAAATAAAAATTCAATGCGGATAAAGGAGCCAATTTTTCTTTTATTTCCTTTATACAAAAAAAAAACAGATCCAAACTAATTTGTCATAGGCATCAAGAATGTAAAAAAAATAGTGAACCAAAAGAACTGTTATTGGTGGTCAAAATACCGGCTTTATATTGAAAGAAAAACTGGTATCAAAATGAATTGATTATGTTCATTGTTCATGTTCATTCCATTGTATACAATACGATTATTTATGACTTTCTTATTCAAGATATAACGTCATCGTTGTCCTGATGTCATGATATCAGAATGGAACACACACACACACACGCTACAAAGTTTTAAACTTTTTTCTCTCCTCATTTTTTTGTTCATATTGTAGTGAGGAAGCCAAGTGTCGATTACAATGAATGACTGATATTTATATGACAAAAAATAGACAGACACACATAGTCACAATATGTGACACCCGTTTTTTTTCATTTTCTGAATCGTTCGTTCTGTCATTATTGATATCAAGATTTAAATAATAAGCTAGTTAAGCTGTTAAATTGAGATAAATTAAAAGCTGATTTTCAAAACGATGAAAAAAAACCTATGCGATGAATTATAATAATTGAAGTCAATAGAAAAGAATGGGTCATTGTATTTGGAAGTTTTTTGTTGTTGTTGTTATTGCTACTGTTATTGCACATAGGTTCATTTGTCATGCTACCAGTAATATATTTGAAGTCAGTAAGCTTAAAAATTTTCCTTTTTCTCCCCCCCCTCTGAAAACTAGGTACTAATCGTTGAGGGCATTATTTTGATCACTATTCACACAATATTGTATTATCGATACATACACATACACATACATTCAAATCTTATCACATTGATAGAAGGCGTGACGAAACTAGTAAAAAAAAAATGAATTAGTTTCCAAATTTTTTTTCTGGTCATTTGGATCTAGTTTTTGTAAATTGCATTGATGGCATTTGTATATTTGGACATTTTGGTTTCCAAATATTTGCATTGGTTTAACCACTGTTAAGCTATTGTGTCCCCTCTTGACTGAGTGTGTAAGTTTTGAAGAAGAAGAAAAAAAATGTATGTTTTACTTTTTGTTTGTTTGTTTGTTACTCTGATAAGTTACCAAGAAAGAAAGTGGACCATTTGTCCATCCATATATTGTAACTATAAAATTGTTATTATTTTGCTTCTGACAGGATCGATCCATCATCGTTTGTCTATTTATCCCATCATCATCATCATTACATTGCATTGCTCCAAGTATATTGGCTCAAATGATTCCAATGGTTAATCCGTAAATTTTTTCTCGCCTCGTTCATTTTTCTTTTTTTTTTTTGCTCGTATCTAAGCTTGAGTTATTGTTATGATTATTGCTCTTCATACAAACATATAACTTAAGAATTATATAAAGAAAAAAAGTCAAAAGGTCAAAAAAAAAATTTGAGACAAATGTATGGACACATGTTTATGTGTTTAGATAGAACAATCGGAATGCCATTATTCAACCCAACCAAATAACAATCCAATACAAAGTTTACCTTTCAATTCAATTTTTTTCTGGCAATTTTTCTATTCAACACATTCCCGAAAATAACTTAATTTAAAATTACAGATAGAAAGATGTCTAATTTATGTGACAAAATTTTTTACGCAATAAATACATACAAAATTGAAACAATTTCATTGAGCTGAGTATAAGGAAAAAAAAAACAGGACAAAAAATCACTACAAATAAATCAAAATATGGATTTGGAACAATTCATGCTGAGATTTTTTTTCTTTGTGCATGTTTTTTAGCTGAAAAAAAACAAATTTTAAAATAATAAAACCATCCAATAGCTTGATAATCATGAATCCAGTCGATCTAAACACAAATGTAAAATAAACAAATGAAAAAAAGAATTCGGACAAATAACACAATAATGATTTAAAAATTCAATCAGACAAAAAAAACTTGGCAGTTGAATGTTTAAATTTTATTATAAATTTTTCACAATTTTTTTTATTTGACGTTTACAACGATGAAATGTTGTGAAACAAATCAATGATCGAAAAAAAGGAAAAAAATTTAAGATGGCACTTGATTAAGTAATTGTCAAATGGTTCATAATATTATGTGCTAAGTGTATACATTGCAAAATCGATAATTTAAAATTATTTGTTTAGTTTAAGAAACAACAATTTGTAAAAATTTTTTTGTTTATTACAATATTTTTTTATCACAAATGATGATATATTTATTTTTTGTCCAGACAGAAAAGATCGGGTTAAAGGTGATTAAAATCAAACGCAAATATTAATTCGGTTTTCGGAATTGGTATTGAAAAGAGTATATGATGGATGAATTTGTGAGGAGATCGGTGGTTGTTTATGAGTATGTCAATCATTTACATACAAAATATTTTTTTTTATTCAAGATTTTGCATCAAAATCGATAGCTCACGAAATGATCGGCCAATTTTTCCCTGTAATGTTTGTCGTTTTAATACGAATGCTCGTGCTGATAGAAGATAATTGTAACATTTCATACATTTGTTATATCTATGACATGAAGAGAAAAAATTACATGAATGATTTTTGTTATGGTAAATTATAAATCAAAAATAAACCTCACCTTTCTTCGCGAGAGATATCCACACCGATACCTGGTGGAGCCGATATGTTATTCTTGATTGTAGGCGAAAATGTTTTCAATATCAAAGCCAATGCACTGCATCCGACTGACATGTAACTGTTTAGATTTAAAGAAAAGAATTAATTTTTAAAAATTATATAAAAGTCAGAAAAAAATTGATGACAAAACAAAAAAAAAAAATGTCAACAAATGAAAATTTTGAAATGACTTGAATTCGATAATGAAGTGAAAAAAAATGAAAGCCAATTTCCTAATTATATCGATCTAATACAAAACACAGTGATCCAAGTTGACAATGATAATAATAACGAATACAGGCCTATGGGATATATGCAATTTAATTGACAAACACTATAGAAAGGCAAAGTTTGCCGTTTTCCTTTACGTCACATTCGAAAACTATAGAAAGCCAAAAAAAAAATGTGTCCCGGGCATCAAATCATAATATTTAACAACAAAACAGCGAATCATCAAATGTGAATTGAGACCTCCAGAGGAGATGTCTTTATTATCGGGGTCTTTGAGACAAATACACACACACACACCTGCAGCTGTTGCCCATAATAATGCTTTTTTTCTCTGAATCATCGTCACTGTTTGAAACGAAAACAAACACACACACACACGTATAGAGAATAACCGTATAGCGATCATTCAATTTGGTGGTAATTGTCACCATTTTGCACAAACACAATAAAAAAATTGTTGGTGCGATCGCACAAATACACACAAACACAATACACGGTTTGCATACACAGACACAATAGGTTTCAAAAGTCCAAATGAATAAATGGATGGATGAAAATACGAATGAATTGAATAGAATAATGATGATGATGAAAACAAACGGCCCAAAAGTTTGCCGTTTTCCTTTTACGTCACATTCGAAAACTATAGAAAGCCAAAAAAAAATGTGTCCCGGGCATCAAATCACAATATTTAACAACAAAAACAGCGATGATGATGACGATGATATTGACATCACAATGTTAGCTCTGTTTGGTTTCCAACTTCAAACAGCAGCAGACATAGATTGGAACAAAAACGTCAATGTAAAATTCAATTTCATAATAATAATAAAAAATTTCATAACAATCAACTGTCTTTCTTTTTCATGTATGATGTCATATTATGAATAGTTGACAATTTTTTGAATGAGAATAGTTCCAATATTCACCATATTCACTGAACAAACTATGTCATTGTAAAAGGAAGCTAATTGAATAATCAAAACAGATAGATAGTTTTCATCACTGGAATAATGGAATGCCCAAATAATGAAGAATAATGATGGTTCAATCAGATCATCACTGGTTTTATAAGATGAAAGATATATGAATTTTTATGTTAATGATTCATTCCATAATTGATTGATGAAATCATTATGTTGAACAATGTTGGCTATGATTTCCAGCATAGAACACATAGCTTTGATCATACGATCAATAAGCTGTTTGAATGGGACACCCATTTGAGAAAAATTTGGAACAAGAGTTCGATATAATAAACGTCACCGTCATCAGGTAAAATAATATCCTAGATTGACATATGATAGACGCGAAAAAGCAAAATGAACAAAAAACAAACAAACAAACTATTTCTGAGTGCTCTTTTTTCTTGTCAGTCGATCGCAAGCAAGCCGACGAAACACAAAAAAAAAATCTTTGAGTGCTACTGCAATTTTTCTCCCCTCGTATGAAATCCGAGACATTTCCCAATGAATGCCAAGTATAAATGAACCAAACAAAAATGACATCTTTTTGCTTTAAAATCAATTTATCGGATGAGAAAAAATTTCCAAGTGTGCCTATTCCAGAAGGTTTCGGTTTAATAAGTACCAAGAAAGGTGCATATCGACAAACTTTTTACAATTTCCAATAAGATATCCATAATATTGTGACTGCATGTGAAATGAATGAAAAGTATTTATGATTTACGCAATGAAAATGACAATAAGATAAATATGGCCTTTTTACAGGCGGAAAGCGACCTTCTTTTGATCCATTGTTCTTATTTTTTTTGGTCAAAGAAAGATGAGCGATTTTAGAAAAGCAACCGAAAGAAAGATTGATCAAATCGTATTAAAAAAAAGCCAAATAAGACAGGCGAGTACAAACATAAACAATAACAACAACAACAACAACTTCAGAGTTTTTTCCTGGATTAACTCCAGGTCCCATGCACAAACAAACAAACAAACAAATAAATAAATAAATAGACAATATGCCAAATTTTCCCTACCATTCTTCTATCCACAAAAAAAATCATTCATTCATTGAAAAATCCGTGAAAAAAAAGATTCAAGTGACAACCAGATGAAAATAACAACTGACGACAACAATCATGATGAAAGCAAAGATGCACTTTAATATTCAGGTCTTTTTTTACAATGAATAAAATTTTGAATAAATTTTAAAGCTGCTTAGGGTTTTTTTTTTTTTCATTCATCAAGGATTTGAAGATTCAATCTCTTATTGTTTCTCAAACTGTTATCTTTTTTTTTTTTTTTTTTTGCTGAAAGAATGATGATCCTATCAACCAAAAAAAGTAGCATAAGCAGGTAGAAAATATAGAGAGAGTTAAGAATGAATGAGTAAGTGATTATCACACAATTTCAATCTCAATATGCATAAAATTCAATTAGATCTAGAGAGAGAGAGAAGAAAAAAAATACAAACGATTAATATGGCATTGAAATAAACATTTTTATGTGACCAGACAGTAAACGGAATAAATCAGTAAAAATGAATAAAAAACGGAAAACTATCATCATCATCTACGCACACACAAAAAAAGGGAAACAATATTAGATAGGCAGACATTTGTTCATTTGTTTATGTCACCGAACCGATCGAAATTTGGGGTTTCAACAAATGAATATGAGGAAAAATAAACTATCAAGACAATAAATACTTTTTCTGAATATATACACTAATGGATCCAATATCATACTATTATCATGTTGATTAGATCTAAACTGAATACTATAAAATCGAAGGTTGCAAAATGCCATAGACTTATGGATTTTTTTCCTTCTCATTTTCGGTGCATTATTCTGGATTATGACTTATTATTATTATTATTGTTATCAATCGATTGTCACACATTGTCTAAAATGTGTTTTAGAAAGGGCAAGCAGACGGGTGACCCATGATTATCAGCAATAAATGAATGAATAAATAAAATTTTCTTTGACACATCATGTCTCAAAAACCAGTCAACTAGACAAACATACACACACACACAAACACACACGTAACATCTCAATATGGAACGACAACAATCAGACAGAATGAGAATGAGATAGATAGACAAAAGAACAGAATGATCAACTAAAAAAAGAGCAACTTAGCTTAACTTCAGCTTGTCAAAGGTCAGATGCTGAGCTATTAGAGTGAATCCATTAGAAGGGAGATGTTTGAAATAATAGTATTAACCATTACCTAATATATATTATGGTGATATGTATTGAATAATAATCGATCGTGAATGAATGAAACTTGCCCTTATCCATTCGAATAAAAGTTCCCAACAACTAGGACTATTTTCCGGAGTTTAAATAAAACGATCAAGTTTTAAAAATCAAATCAAATGATTGTGTCACAAATAGAACCTAAATAAGTGTATGAAAGACAAACTGTCAAATACAGTAGACAATAAACGAATGGATCTTAAAGTCCAAGCAATTTTTGTTTCTTTTGTATTTGTCGTGTTTGTGTTGCTGTTGACAATTCAAATTATTCATTCGAGCAGGAAAATGTTGTCTAAAGTATTTTTGATAGTCATGAATTAAAATCGAAACAACAACAACAACAACAACTAGTGATGACAACAAATCTGAATGAGAAAAAAAACTTGGGTGTAATGTTTACATACATACGTACAATTAAGCAAATATAATGGACATAAATACAGGTAAGCATTACAGGTATGTATGTATAGCTGCGAACCATAATTCATTCTATGGTCTAAATCATGATCAATTGAGCATGATTAACAAACAACAACAACCATAGCATATCTCTGGTAAAATGGATAGCTGTTCCTAAATCCCACCATGAAAAGATTAATGGCTATGATTACTATTGTTCGATTGATTTTACTTATGAAAATAAATGCAAACAATCAGAAAAAAATCTGCAAACTAGAACTAATATTTCAAAAACGAGAAAATTCATTTTTCAATGCTACATAGAAAAAAATATGAAATTTGTATCTTTAACCGCCATCTGTTGTTTTATTATTAAAAAAAACACTAACCTTTCATATTTACTTTGAAGTAATTCCTGTATGCATGGCAATAAAATCAAAGCAATATCCAAATTCCAGACAGATCTACGAAATAATAAAAATTAGATAAATCCATTAACAAAACAATTAGATATTAACATACGGTTTCCAAATCATAACATTCAATATATCGATAATAATTGATTTTTCATCCAAATTGATGGCATATTCCAATGCTGTTTTTGAATCTTTTGTCGCCCACATTGCCAATACAATCTGTACCTGTTTTCTTCGGTAATCTAAACCAGCTTTTGCTGCTTTATGTCCTTTCATTATCGTATTAATAGTTTCGACTTCTGAAATAAAAGGCTGTTGATCACAGCCATACTGTTGTATGTGTTTCGGTAGAAAATCGTTAAAATCCAGACCGGCTGGATGATCACTTATCTCCGGTATGATCATAGTAGAATCATTTGTTGTCACGTCTATATTGCTATTCTTTAATGATGGGGATATCTGAACAATAGACGAAGATGATTTGACGCAGGTCATTACATGGTCATCCACATTCATGGAGATGGAAGGTTTTTGTTGATGAATCGGATAGCTGCCAGTGATGGAAGGTCGATTTGAATCGTTTATGATTGGACGAACCATGGATGTGATTTTATTTGGAGTCAATGTTGTGGCTATAATGGATGTATTGTTATTATTGCCATTTGATTTTTCATTCAATTTCGTTGATGATGACAATTTATTGGTCGTAGTTGTTATGGTTGTGGATGTTGTCATTGATGATGTTGTTGAATTGCCATAAACAGAGGGTGAAATTAGTGAATGATGACTCATTGGGGACAAGGTGGTATTATTATTAGATGCGTTTGTATACAGGGATGAATATATTGGATTGGATGCCATTGTCATTGATGACGAACTTGATGATGGTGTGTGTATCATTTTATTATGACTTATATTCGAAATATTGGGAAGTGTTGTTACATGATGGCCATCACCGTTAGCATTTTTCAATTGATTGAGACCCGTTAACGATGTAGAATGCGGTAAAATGTGATTATTATTGGCTACATTCGAATCTTTTATGGCCGAAGTTGAATGATCATTACTTTTGTTTGCGATAATCGGAGACAATGGAGTACTAGGTAGGATATTATTATTTCGATGATTTAAATTCAAATTGTTAAGCGATTCGGATAGATGGCGAACTGAATGCAATGGTGTCGATATTGATGTTGTTCCTCTGGCCATATGCATTAGATTGGATTTGAGCGATGGTTTTTGGCCGACCGTAAAACCAGTCGAAGATGTGGAAAGACTTGTCTGGTCGAGTTGAAGGCTATGTAAGTTTTGATCTATAAATGAAAATTGTCGGAAAAAAAACCATCATTAGTCATTTGAAATCGATTTAATGAAATGATTATGATACCATTGGATATATTATTATCTAATGGTGGAGGTGTGCGCATTACTATCGTGCATCAAATAACAATATAAAAAAACATAACGGTGAATAATGCCAACAAAAAGAAATGAAAGCCAAAACAAAAAACAAAAAACAAAAGACATAAGATTAAAAGCAATAGAAAAATTAATTGATGAAGATATAGTTACATTCTCTCCGCGATTGAAATATTTCTTTATAATCACAGGTATTGTAAATTTCTGCCAATGAATCAATGCCATCCGATCCATTCATTGTATCCATATCATCCGTTCTACTTGATTCCAAGGACCTAGAATAAATTCTACAATGAATTAAATGGCAAATCGATTGGTTAATTTGTTCATACTCTAGTTGTTTGCAAGTTTTGCTTGTATGTTCGAAATTGAAACTTCTTCGTGTACTTTGCCGTAGAACGTTGTCACGTGAACAAAGTTGAGATTTGTTTGCATTATAATTAAATGGCTGTATGGCATTCAAATCGACCATATACACGGAAACGTTTGTCGTTGAAAATGTTCCGGCAACAATTTGTTCATCCATAATGGCCATGTCATTTAATCGACCCCAATAAGTATGTGCTACATCATAAAGATGTGTTGGCTCCCATCCGAATACTTTCATTACATCTTTACCACTTGCAATCAATGCTTTGCCTTCAGGATGGAAAGCAATCTTTCTAATGGCTCCAATATCAGATTGATAGGTAGTCGTCGATACTTGAAGAAAACTTTCTAAATCCCAAAATTTTATCGTACCATCTGAACTTGAACTGGCCAATAGAAATTCGTTCGGATGGAATACCACATCGGTTACGGATGATGAATGACCTTTTAATTCGGCAAGCATTTTTCCGGCAACAATATCATATAACATCACAGACCCTTCATTGCCGCCGGATGCAAGCCATCGGCCATCCGGGCTAAGTTTCAGACAGTGTACATCTTTTGAATGTATCTATATATAAAAATAAATAAATACACAGATTGAATCAACGTGAATCGTATTCGATTAAATTTTTACCTTATATGTAATAATACAAGTCTTTTTCCGGTAGTCCCATAATTTAATACTAGTATCGAATGATCCAGAAGCAAGAAAATGACCATAAGGATGAAAATCAAGACAACGTACATTAGTCTTGTGACCAGTTAATGTTTGTATCACTATTGAAAGAAAAGAAAATTAGAATGATTCAATTCAATTGACAAATAAATGGCATTATTAAAAAAAATACATTTGGCTGCTTCAAGATCCCAAAGTTTAATGGCACCAGATGCTGAACCAGCTCCAACAATATCTTCATTTTGATTAAATTTGGCGCATTCGATCGATGTTCGATGGCCATTTAAGCTCTGTGAAAAATATTCGAAAACAATGTGAATAAGGTATTAATAATTACAATATAAACAATGATAAAATTATAATGATCGTTCAACAAAGAAGTCATTGAGAATCGGCCACAGGTGGACATTTAGACGATAAATAAGAGGGTAATGAACTCAGGTGCAAGGAAGTATATAATCATCTCATCATTATCATTATACATTCAAGGTAGACTTGAATCACATTCTAAATTATAAACATGAAAAAATTAAAATTATACCGCTAATCACCAAGGGTGAAAAATTTATTGTACACCTGTCTTTTGGTTATAGTAATAGAAAACAATGGAAATTTCATAATCACAAATGCAAACATATAACGATTCTTGACTACGCTTCCTAGTGTTGTCAGGTTTATCAATTCTATAAATTCATTCAGAAGCCGTTCAACTCTACAGAAAAAAAACTGACAAAGAGGTTGTTGGCCTCAATCAATATCACTGACGGTCATGTCTGTCTGGTTGTTGAATCAAGACCGCTAAAACGTAATAAAAATGGGAAAGTAATGATAAAAAATTGTCAATGGGAAAACTGATACAACATGATCATTTTTTTTAGAAATATCGTTTGAATGAATTGAACGAAAACAATTCCATTATTATTCGATTAATAAATTTATCAAGTAATCAATCAATCAATAAACCAATCGATTTCTTATCATTTTATTCGATAAACGATCAATCGAGTATGGCAGACGACTTTTTTTCTGGTCGGAAAAATTTGTTTCAGTTTTTTTTGCACAATGGTTACTAGAAAGGATTCTGATGAAATCTTTGCCAACTATTACCATTATCATTCAGGAAGTTCAATGATCTACATTCTTAATTAAAGTTGACAACAATCATCCATCTGTCTGCTGTCGAGTATAATTGTCATTGGAAAACGTCTTCATGTTTGTGATAATAATGTAAGACTGATGAAATGAGTATGGCAATTTTCATTTAATGAACAAACAATGACAATACTATATGCGAGAGATATACTATGAAAAATATCTGAGATTGTTTTACAACTGGTCAAAAGAAAACGAATTTCCAAACACAATAAATATAATGAGCTTGGCCATTTGACCGCTTTAGGTGTGAAAAATTAGAGTGAAAAAATCTAAAGATTTCGTCCATTAGATATGATATGGAATTTTTTTTTTGTTAGACATAATTAGACAAAATTATTTCAAATACGTGTTCGGTCATGTTTTCTATCTAATATAGCATAAGCATTCGAATCGTTTCTTTCATACACTGACCATCATTGTCATTTTTTTGTTGTTGTTGTTGTTCAGAATGATGGCCACTTTTTTCAACATTTGTTGATATCGCTATTTATCCTTGCATTTTTAATACAAAGAAAATAAATTACATTTAATTTCGAAAATAAATCACCTTGCATACATTCGCCTTGTCGCCATACACCCACACGAATTGTTTGACATATGATAAAAAAAATGGATCGATCGAACTGTGATTATTTATATAATCACAACAAATGGCTACCATTACGCGTAACAAATTCTTTTATTATAATCATAGTATGTCTTTCAAAATATTTTCAAAGAGAAAAACTTAATTTCTGGACTAATATCTATATATATTTGATGGCTGATCACCAAATTTAGATTTGACTTGTAATGACTATAAATTAATAAAAATATCGAAATTCGTAGTGATTTCTGAAAAAAAATCAATTCATATATCGGATTCACAAATAAAACATATGGAAAAATTGTTAAGGATACGGATTCATTACTGTTGTTGTCAAGATACGATGTAACAATTAAATATGAATTTATTGACAAGCTTAGAAAACCATTTTCCAAAAATAGCTCTTCAATGACAACTGACAGATCAAGTACGGCTGATATTTGAAATCTAAATGTCCATTTTTTTCTGAAATTAGAGTTCAAACGTTTCATAATTCGTTTTCAATCAAACGATCGATGATGATGATGATCATGATTGTCGCAATGATAAAAAGTGTATGACTACAAAAAAAAAATTTTTTTGATCGATTGAAAATTGAACACACTAGCGAATAAAGTAGTGAAAGTAATAAATGACTAAACGATTTGTTGAGTATTTGATAAAAACCTTCACACAATTACATGGACAATTTGGATATAAATACGATAGAAATCGGTATGCTGGCTTTTCTGAGCAAAAAAATAAAAATAAGGTATGTAAATACCAACCAAACAAGTATGAATTGTGTAAATTGAAAAATGATAATTGAATGACAATTTATAAAATGTGTTTACATATAACACAATGATTTTTATTTGTCAATCAACATGACAAAGTTGATTCTAGTATTTTATTTGATATTTAATTAAAAAAAAAATTTCTGACATTTAGGGCGCCTAGTCTCAAATATAGGAGAAGGATGAAACTGAATTCGTACCGTGAAAAGATTGGTTTTGATATCACATATAAAAAATAATAATAAACACAAACACCAACCACAATAATAATGATAATGTGTGTAAGGAGAAATAAGAAATTTTTTTAAAACTTTTTTTTTACTTCTGAAATTTTGAACTTAAAGGATTAGAAATTCGAAACAATCATAATGGCAATTCTTATAAGGATAGACTATGGCCAGACAAAAGAAAATTTTGTATATTTTGATATACATTGTATGATGATTAAAATAAAAATAGAATGAGTGTGAACCAGATTTCCAACATAACAACTGAACACGAAGAACATGATTATAATGGTGATATCAAAAGGAAAAAAAATAACAAACTAACAGACAACTGGAAAAAATCAGAGGCTCGACATCGCACAAACTGACTGACAGGTAAATCAATTAGAAATGGCCAATACAATTGAAAAAGAAAAAGATTTTCCCTTTTTTTTTGACCGGTCGACTGATTGGCCATTGTATTTATTAATATAAAATAAAATATGTGTTTGTGTGTATTTATATGCATGTTTTTAGGAATGATCATCAAAATGGACGATGACAACGTGATTCGTCAGATTCGAATGAATGGATTAATATATGAATTTGATCAAACCGGTCAACAAACACATACAATAAATATATGGTGCTGCACCGTTTACACGTTGATTTGGACGAAAAACAGAACATACAAATAAAAAAAAACTTTGTATATAGATTTGGGACAAAAATATCATTGAGAAAAAAAAATTGCTACTCACCATAATACAATTTGGTTTACCAATGGCCCATAAATTTATTTTGGCATCATCACCACCGGTAACCATAACACGGCCAGATTTTTGTCCTAAAGCCAAACATGTGACAGCGGATCCATGGGCGACAAATTCGTCTAAACCAGATCAAATGACGATAAATACATGTGTAAGAGAGAGAGAGAAAATATTGATGAGAAAAAAATTAATTCATTTGTCAAACAAAAAGTGTTATAATAATAGAGATATTGAATGATTCAGGATTTCAAAAAAAATCTCTGATATATTTTGTGTTCAATTGCAATAAAATGTTTAGATCAATTAATAAATCAATCAGTAGTTGATGCATAAGATTTCATATTAATTGACTCAAAAAAAACTAGTTTTGATATAATAATTTCCAATGAAAAATTATCAACAGGATCATAATTTGTGATGGCCGGGAATGATATCAAAGTCGAATTCAAAATCTTCTCATTCGAATTTTTTTTGTGTTTGCAATGTTAACCACTTATTGTTGATTGTCATTAAATGATGATGATGCTTATAGTGAATATATTTTTGACCTAGAATCACGGTTTTCATAATAGACATCAAATTTAAAATTCAAAGATGAAGGGTTAAGCCCATTTGATATTTACATCTAAATCAACTAAACCATAATCATCATCCTTGACAATCGAATGGATGATGTCTTCGTTTTTTTGATAATTGTTCACATACACACATACTGAATGATGGGATAGTGGGATGTTTTGTGAAAATCAACAACAGGAAAAACCGTTATTTTTACATTTGAAAAAAAGTAAACCTAGGTCAAATGTAAGTTACATCCCTCAATGATGATGATGATGATGATAATGATTCAAAAGCCATAATTTTTCAAGTAAAGTATTGTTTGTTTGTTTGTTTATTTCTAATCATCTCCAAATCATGAATTTTATTGTGAAGATGTTCCATTTTACAGTAATAATTTATAGATGAGAATAAAATATGATAATTATAATCGAGAGAATTGAAAGTCAAAATTATCATCATTGACATTGTACAATCAAATTATAATTTTTTTAGAAAGAAAAAAATAAATTTTTAATCATTAGAGAAAAAATCGATTGATTCAATAAACAATGTTTATAAATACAGATGCGAAATTCGACACACAGCCTTCCAACCAATCAGATCACCACCACCACCACCACCTGACAGAAAAATGAAGAATTGATTTTCTTTTTTTTATTGAAAAAAATGTGAAGAAAATTTCAAAGTATAAGTGTACAATAATCATCATAACGCCATTCAATTTTTGAAAAAGTAAAGTGAAAATAACACTTTAGGCTTTTAATATACGAAAAAATAATGAATGAATGTATGTAATGTGTTTGAACAGGTCGAACTGATGGCGGATTGCATCCCACATAACCAAAAAAAAATTTTTGTTTTGAAGGTGAATATAACTTAGGAATATTTAAAGAGTTGAATCGCTATTATCATCATCATCATAATCACCGACATCATCGTTATCATCACAGGCTGGGCAAATATTGTGCGAGAAAAAGGAGGTTAAATTTAGCACGTTTTTTTTCTTTCCAAAAAGATTGGATAGACGATAAATTATTTATATAAAATACAAACATAATCATAATGAATAGTGAATTTATGCTCGGTATAGATAGGATTGTTTTTGGCCACCATTCCATAATGGTTATTTATCTATACAATACCAACATCATATTCTGTGAATGCATACATCAACCACACAGACAGAAAAAAACGAAAAACTGAATGAATAAAAATCAAAGCAATGAAATTCAAATCTGAATACAAACAAAAAAGAAAACAAAAACAACATGCAAAACACACACACACACAACAAAAAATGAAAGATAACGGGAAAACAACCATGGAAAATCTAAATTTATATCTATTCCATTTCAGAAATTTGCCCAGGATTTCATTTTTTTTTTCTACCACAATCTGATGATGATGAAAAAATCTGACAAGAACAATAATGACGAAATAAATGAATGCATATGTATGTTCATTGCTTACTGATGGTTTCATCAAGCATACATTCAAAGACTTCTAAACATAGAAAAAAAATTGATGCATGGCCATCATTGACTTGCCTATTGTTCATTTGGACATTTGCGTTTTATATATTCATTCACATCCTAAAGTCATATCGAATCGATTAGATACTAATCATCGAAAATGAATTGATTATGGTTCATATCAAAAGATAACGAGAAAAAAAATCAAAAATTATTATTACTATTGAGATAATTATAAATCAATCAACTCATGAGAAAAATTTTAACCATTTGAATCGTGATCAAATTTCATGCCCTCAATTCGAAATATCAGATGACCAACAAAAAAAAACAACAACAAATTGAATCGTACAAAAAAGACCTGATGAAATTACCCTTTGGCGGATCATATTTTTACACAACATATTCCTTGTTTGGGCGCATGGTTCGTAAACGATCCATTGGTGGTCTAATGTAAAAGAACAAAAAATGACATATGCACATATAGAGATGCATAATGTGCAGATGATAAATCACGATTTATAAATTGTTGATTCGTGAATTATGATAAAAAAAAATAAAAACAATCGAAAGTGTGAACAGGCACACACACACACACATATACAATGAATATCAATAAATTTCAATCTCAACCATAACAATAATATTCTCACACTCATAGGTGCATATTGGAACAACAATAAAAAATAACAATGATGCATATTGTTGTCCGAATGGTCAGTGAAAGAAAATTAGGATAAAATTCAAATCGAAATGTATGGAAAGATGCTCTGATTAAATTGGATAGATTAGCCAAACAATTATGAGTTCATTAACACGGATTGTCCATCACACACATACACACACAAGAGATGCATAAATGAATGAATTATAAAGAATGTATTTTATTATAACATCATCAAACATGCATTCATGTCTTCAAAGATGAGATATGTGTCTAATTGTTTATGCAATCTGTCTGTAATAACCAAGATAACGTCAACAATTTGATTTATATTTATAGCCATTTGGCATAGAAAAGCAAGAAAAAAAAATTCAATTCATTCCTTACGAAAATAATGATAGCTAAAGAAAGCACGATTTTCTTCTTTTCTTATTATGAATACTAACCGATCACTGCAAATTGCATTCGACGGTTATTATTTCAAATCGAGAACGAAAATTTCGTATGATATCTCACAATCATCATCACTAGAACGCGAATCGACACAAATGACGATAATACTCTAAAATTATCGATATTATTATCGATCTATCGATCAGGTAACGTTATTGTACTGTTAAGATCAAAAATTATTGATTGTAAGAATAATGACAATTTCAGAGATTGTAATGAATGAAATCAGATTGAATTGAATGAAAAATGAGAAATAAAAAAAAATTCGTGAAGTAAAAAGATTCAGCATTTCTCTCACAAGAAAAACGTACGCTCAGTTATTTTTGGATGATTGGATCTGTTGGAACGAGTCGCGTGACTTTTGATGATGCCGGGACCATTATTACTAACAATTGTGGATGTTATCGTATTTGCTTTTGATGAAAAATGTTCATTCGTCAACGATGACATCGATGATGATGAATGATGATTATGAGAACGTTTATAGTTCAAGAATGAGGATAAATAATCCGACGGTGCTGGATCGGAATTTGGTGATGATGTCACCGATGATGGCGATGATGATGGACAACTACTTGTTGTCGATGAATAAGTGGCAAATAATGATGATGTCCATTTAGGTTTCGTAACCGTAGTGTATGTCGATGATAAGGATGTGGCCATTTTACCGATACCAAAATTTTTCTTTCAGACAATAATTCAAAATTCATTTAAAATGTATACGAAAAAAAGTTTCGAATGTAATCACGCACGTAAACTATCCACACATTTGAGATGATTGGCACGAAAATAATGGCGAAAAAAAGTGAAAATAAAATCCACTAGATTTTTATCATTTTAAACGGTAATTTTTTTTTGATTTTACAAATTTGAGAACGAAAATATATCGGAAATTTTCAATGTAAAAAAATAAACATATCAGACTTTCCATTTAAAATTTATTTTAAAAAATAAAACCTGATAGGTGTCACACACACAGCCATTTATTTCATTTGAAACGTAATTTTGCGATAATCATCAAATTGATCGATCGTGAAACTTTATGGGAAAAAGTTTGAAGGAAAAAAGCCGATCACAAACATAACATAAACATAACTAGCATCAACATGGAATGGTCATGTTTGACAATCATCATATAGTATTCAACATCATAAGACCATTTAATTCAATTCATTTTATTTCTATACAAAAAAAAATAGTTGTTTTATGTGGGATGCTCTTTCAAGGAGAAAGAGAATCACAAAGAGTGTCCAATAAAATCGAAAAAAGATTTTTCTCTTTCTCTACTTATTGATGAAACTTTTTTTTTCTTTTTCCCTTTTTCTCTGTGTTTGGCGCCATTCGCCAAGTCTCTTTCGTTTTTTTTATCATTTTACAAACAAATGAAAAAAAAATTTCCTATTATAATTGTATACACATTGTCAACAATAAACTGTGTACATTGTATGTAGTTATTTGGTTGATTTTCATTCAAGAATGAATGAATGAATGGCCACAAATTCACAAGGATGATATTCTAGACAAAACCAGCTATATTCGATTTGTTTGTTATTTTAAAAACAGGATGATAAGAAGAGGAAGAGGAACATATACGACAATTATAGAACAAATAGTCAGGGACATTGAATAATGTTGAAAAGCTGATGCTGCACATCAACGCATCAATAACAATGATGAAATGATTATGGATCGATTCATATATACTGCATGATGTGATGATTTCTATAAAAAGAAAACTCACAAAGATGGAATTTCTAACAATTCATTTTGCACATTTTAGTTGAATGACTGTTTACGGAAGAGGAATTCATTCATTAAACTGCGTGTGTGTGTGTGTGTGAGTGTGTAACAGAAAAAATCGCCAAATCTGTGTTTAGAAGGACAGAAATTTAATAAATTATCAAATAATTTTCAAAGTGATGATAATTAATTATGAATAAAACGAATTAAAGCAACATTTTGTGTCAGATATCAACACTTAAAAAAATACAGAAAAACAAAAAACTTGCCGAGTTCCAGAAACAGAATGAATTTTGAGTTGGCAATTTTCTTTTCTTTTTTTGAAACAAAATCATCTGTTTTGTGTGTATATGTGTGAGTGAACAGACATACCTATAAAATTTACAAATTTTAAATTTTTACCTAGTTAGCGTATTTGGGAGAAAAAAACAGTCATATACTGTCATGTTCCGGGATCAGTACTGTGATGGTGGATGATGATGATGATGATTGTCTACAAACACAAACATTTGTATAAAAACAGACAGATAAACAATAGTGGACACAATCGAAAAAAAAACAAAATGATGTGACCGGAAAGCAAAAACAATGGTTCATTGATTGAAGAAGAAAAAGATTAAGTTTTGTCCAATGATGATGATGATGATGATGGACAACTAAAAATGCATCATCATTTTGTTGATGAGAGATGGACATTAACATTAGCTTCATTAAACTTATGTTATTATTATTATTATAAGCTTGGAGACATACAATGGTGAATTTAATTTATTATTTTCATTTCAAACGTTTTTCAACTACAATACGATATGAAAAGAGAAAAAAAAATCAGAACAAGATTGAATGTGATTCGATTGATCGATCGGTCATTGAAAACAAATTGCTACATTCATTTCATAGTTATAAAAGAAAAAACAATGAAAACAAAACTAAATGGATCAAATGTAGATTTTCTATTGAAAAATACACTAACATGAATGATTATTTTATTCAGCCATCATTTCATTTCATTATATCTCATCTATAATGATTGTTGTCGGAACAATATCGATTGAATTTGAAGAAAAAAGAAAAGCAATTATTATTGTTACCTGGTTTTGGTGCACAATTAATATATATTGGGATAACAACAATACATACAGAACAATTACATTTCGATCCAGAAACTTAAAGTGTTATAATAATAATAATAATTGTGACATCAGTATTTTGCATCATAGATAATCTCTGAAACAAATAATGATTTGATTATATTGTTAATGATAATATCTTAATCCATGAATTATATTATATTATTATATAATTATTATTCTAACTAGAAAATGGTAACAAAAAAAATTAAAGTCAATTAAAATATTACATAACCTCATCTATCCACTTAACTTTGTGGTAGTATAGCAGCTTCAATTTTTTTTTAGTTTTTTTCATTATAAATAAAAAACAAAACAAAAAAAGGCCAGCTACGGCTAATCGACTAAAGGTGAACATGGTTAAATATAGCTACGCATCAATCTTGGAATACCACACAATATGTGTGTGTGTGTGTGTGTGTATAATTTGGTTAGCTACACTCTAAGTTCATCATTCATTCATTCATAAGACATAACAATCTCTGGTTAAATTCACTTGTTGAATACATTAAAAACAACAAAAAAAAACTTGACTTCACGCTATGAAACAATTCACACAAGCTAAGAAAAAAAATAATTCAATTTGATTATGCTTTTAAGAATCATTATTATTATTGATGTACACAGACAGCACACTGGTCGAATGATTGGTCATCCATCATTTGCAAATATGAAAATTGATCATCAATTGGTCGATTGGAAAATGTGTCATAAAAATTATATACAGTAGTATTTCGGTTAACGATGAAAATCCATTCCGAAAAGGTTATCATTCAAACCAAAACAATTGTTAATCAAAGCAGCCATTCTTGGCTGTTTGGGGAACATATATTAACCGAAATAAAGTTTACAACCATTTTTCTTTGTAGACGAGCAAGAGATGTAAACACTTGCCATAGTCAAGGACGAAAACGCTGAAATCAGATGATGATCGTTTTATTGCTGAAAAGTTTATGTTACAACAATTTAACCTGGAAATCACGATAAAGGTCGATTCGAGCTGTTAGATCATAACATGTTCTACCCTTAATTACACATTATAATCATCCACATACAGGTTACGGTTTTTATGATAGATCAATTTTGATAAACAAGTTTGAAATGCAATGTGCAATGCCAAATAAACTGAATATATATTGGATATAAAATCGGAACATGCCATTCTTTAATGATGAAAAAAGATTTGATTCATCGATAATTTAAATTGAATCAAAACAGGTATATATTACAAACAATTCTTTATGAAATCAAAGCATTATTTTATCATAATCATTGTCAATATTAACAATCAGCTAAATCAATTTTAAATTTCAATTACATCTATCTATTTGTAAACACATTTGTATGATATTAAAAACCAATGGAAACAAAAATTTGCCTACTTACATAGTTTATGATTTCGGCCAGTGAAATATGGAGACATGTTTCAACTTGTTGAAGGATCGATAAACACTGGCTATCATGTATATTTATATTCTCATAAAGATGACATCAGACTAACTACAATTGGGTGCGTTATGGGCGATATTTTTTTTTCTCTTGATGAATGATGAATTGACTTTTAGTATAATAAGTTGATTTTTATCGATGAATAAACTCGATTATAAATTGATGATGACTTTTGAGATTTGACTTTTTAATACAACATTGAACACATACATACAAAACAAGAGTTATTGAACACACACACAGAGAGAAAATTTGAAAATCAAATAGATGTTTATTTAATAGGTTTGAAGTTTTTATAATAATAAAAATAAAAATAAAGCTCATATATTAGTAATTGATGCGTTTTTTTTTGCTATACACGACGTTTGTGAAACGTCTCTCTTTGATACATATATTATGATTCATAAACGAATTCGAAACGTTTATTATATGATGCATCAACAATATAATTGATGATGATGATGGGAAGATTAAGATGAAAATTTTTGATCGTAATACGTATTTTTTCCTCTTGTTATTTTTATTATGATGATATGAAATGAATGAATTTTGTTTTTCGTTTATTGACTATGACAATTTTTTCCAATTGTCAATAGTGTATATTGTCACATTGATATATCACAAAAGAACAATACGTGTTGAATGTTTTTTTTGTTTAATTATTGATTGACATATGACTCAATTGGTTAGTCATATTTGATAAATAATGATTTATTATGGTGACTAAAATATTGATCTTATTTATATTACAATCAATAGATATATAAGAAAATGCCTTTTTTTTAAAAAAAAGCAACAGTCTCATATCAAACAAGTGATAGAATATATCCAAACAAAAAAACGAGTATCAATATGTACATGGCACTAAGTCATCACCACCTCCATCATCATCATCATCATCATCAGTTACCCATTTGTTGTTGTGGCATTCGATCAATGATTGATTATTGATAGCTGGCATATATTGATGGAGATTGGTAATGGGGTCGTCAAGGCTATAACTTGGTTTTTTCCTATATTTGTTGTTGAGCAATCATTGTTATCCATTGAAATTGGATGCATTAAAAAAGTATGATTTTTGATTATTATTATTATTATTATTATCGATGAAGGAAGCTAAAGCATCACATTTTCAGGCTTCATGTTCTGAAAATATGATATGATTTATGGGTATTTCATGGATTTGATGATCAAACAAATCAAACATAAAAGTTTACATTTCTTCTTCGTTGTATTCGTTAATTCTGGTCCTGTAGATTTTTATTTTGTTCTCAAAATGCTCATTTTGATGACTTTGCGTTTATGATTATAATAGCTGTATATATAAATGATGAAGATAAAAAATGATAACGTTATATTTTCCAATATTGTTAATATGCCAAGCAATATTATCGATTCTTTAAAAAGTTATTTTTAATTCTTGAGAATCATCTTCATTGATTGAAGTTGGCAATGGATACCTTAGAATCCTTGGCATTTTGTGGGTTATATTTTGATATAATTTTTCGTTTGTGTTGATGATAACAATGTTATAAACACACAGACAAATTTATGTGAGTATATCCTCGACTATGGCATTGGTTGATTTGTTGGATAGATAAACTGGATAGAAAAAAATTCACAAACATACACACACACAAAACAGAAATTAATATCAAAAAATGATTTCGTTGTAATAGATGATTTTGACAGTCGATGTTGGTTGACTGAAATACTGTCAAACACAGATTGTATATCACAATGAAAAATGAAACGTCAATTGTAATCTAAAGAATCTCATAACACAATTATGTTCTGTTTGAGAAAAAAAAGAGTTAGAGGTTAGAGCGCCAAATCCATAAATTATTCTATTCTATATTCATCACCACTACCACCAATCATTTTGTTAGTTGTGGTTCTATAGAAAAAATAAAACCAAATGTTCATCCTACCTAGAAATTAATTGTATAGCAGAATGACAATTTGAGCTGGCATCAGATCAGCAATCACAACTGGTCAGTCAATTAGTCAGTTATTCAAATTGATATGAATTCAAGAAGGTTGAATCATCATTATCATCAACGGTGATCACAATCAAAACAAAACATAAACTCACGCCAATCCATACACACACATACAATGAGTTTTCTAAATCGTCGATTTCGTGCATATACACAGTAGAGAAAAAAAGAGAAGCAGCGGACACACATTGGCAAATCCAATATTCAATGTTACCTTGTTGTAGTTTGTGTTTATGTGTATGTGCAGGTATAGTTTTATTTTATCATCACAATACACATTGGTTACCTTTTTTTGATGTTATGTTTTTAATGTTCCACTATCCAGCAACAGACGATGACAGAGATAGAAACGTGAGTGAACTCGATATATTGTATGGAGACAGGTACCCAGAAAAAGAGAGAAAGAGACGATGATTTAGCTTGAAAGTGGACCCGTTCAACATCAAGAAAACAAAGATAAACATTTGTATGTATACGGCCGAAATCGTCGTCGTGACAACCTAGCTGCTATTGGTCGCTATACAAGAAAAATTTTTAAAAGTTAGAAACCTAAAATGTTTGTCCGATCTAACAAACATGTATTGCAAGACCGATCAAGAGTAAAAAATAGGATTTTTTCGGATTCAACCTATAGGTTAACGCCGGAGGGTTCGATCCATCAACGACATCTGGTATTATAAATGCTAAATTTTTTCGAAAAAAAATTTGAACCCAAAAAAATGCTGATATCATCGATGAAGAAAAACCCAAATTATTACCGGTAATAAATAAAAAAAAGTAGAAAAATCTAGCAACAACAATTTTGGATGACGGACGACCAAATTACCGATGAGGATGAACACTACAAGAACAAATTTTAAGCAAACCGGCTGGCAACCCAAGTTTTTTCTGATGTTCGTTACCAATAACACCAACAAAAAAGACGGGCAACCAAGCGTACCGATGCGTGACAAACTATCTGTGAATGTACGTGGAATGAAATTTAAAAAAAAAATTCAACAAAAACATGTCAGAAAAAAATGGAAAAAATATTATTTAATTGGATGATAAGATTAAGGCAATTTTGTTCCATTGTTCATATTTATACGAAATTGATTTGATTTTGATTTTGTAGCCAAAAATATTTTTATTTATTGATCAATTGATAGTTTAACACAGAATTATAATCATTCAGATTTCAGTGCATTTGTTGCTACGACAAACGAAAGCGATGATGATGTTGATTGAAAATGGCAGAGACAGATACGGTGATACAAATTGTCATTCAATGTCATCATCATATATATTAAACATGTCAGGATATATTATTATTATTATCTAAAGATAGATTGGTGGTGATTGTCTGCTGGTTTCGTCTCTTGTTTCCATTGTCATCATCAGGCAACCAAAAAAAAAAAAATTTCGCTTTTGTTATTCTCTGAGAACCAATATAACAAGTTTTGTTTACATTCATTGGACAGAACACTGCTTATTTCCAACTATCGAGTAAATCTTTTTGATTGAAATAATATCCCACCAACAAGATGATCAGATTCAATGAAGCAAGTTTTTGGAATACTACGCTACATTGATTATCATTAGCAATATGGCCAACCGTCACCGTTATTCTCACATCATCACCATCCTTGCCGCTAATATTGTCATAAAGATAGATTTGGAATTCATTTCGCATACGACTACAAAGACGAGTAATTTGCCTTAATAAACAATAGGTATCATCAGGTTGAATAGAATCCAATGCGGCCAATAGTGAATAAAGCCATAGGCCTCTTTCGATAGTGAATTTTTCATGACCATCTTCTCGTAACCATTCGTAATGATAGTATAATAATCGGCAAACTTCTTTTTGACTAATTCTAGCTAGTAATGATAATCGAGGCAAATTAGTATGATAAGAATTTTCAGGCTTATATCCCATGTGGTTAGATTTATTTTCATGGCTGAAACAATATTCACGCCACCATTTACGGGTATGTTGGATTAGTTTTCGAGTGTCAGAACATTTTGTTCGTAAATCATCGATATGTTGGCGTAATGTTAAAAATGATTCAATCAGTGATGGTACTATTGATTGCTCATGAATTTCAAACGCAGGCAGTGAACGTATAAATTCCTTTTCTTCAATCGATTTCACGTGATAATCATAACATTTTGGTTTTCGAATCAAAATTTGTTCGGCCACTTTTATACTCGGTTCTTGTTGAGATTCAAGTTGAACTCGTCGTAAATAATCTGCACCGTTTTCAGGTGGAATACTTGGATCATAACTATCGAATGTAGCCACAGGTAACCTAGGAACCAGATTCATCAAAGCATCATCATCATTAAGTTTGTCACTATCTTCTTTGTAAAGATTCATGATTCGATTTTCATTTTTGAATATTAAAAACATAAAATCAGCTGCATGTCATGCTTCAAGACGATTAAAGTTCATTCATAAAAGACGAGCAGTTATATTTTTGTGTTGAATTTCGTGAACTCTATCATTAAAACCATCTGTGATAGAAAATGATCCTTAAACTTTCAACGAATATCAATCGCTTCAAATGGTACGATCACTTTTTGTTCATTAATAGTCTACGGCATCAATCGAATCAATCATCGAGTAAGCTTTATATCCAGGGACAAAATGATCCAGAACGACCGAAGATTCGCGAATATTTCTATTACATTGATCACAATGGAATGGTAATTTTGATTTTAAACGATGAATTAAATTAAATTGTGTTATTCATAATCGATTTCAGTTATTTTTAGATGATTCTCGTATGAAAAATTTTACTAGTTGTTTTAAGGAAAAACAATTTTTGAATTTCTTTTTCAAAAATATAAAATTTAATAAAATGGGTCGTTATGAGAAAGAATTTCCATACATTTCATTATGTGGAATCGAAAGAAATTTTATACGATGCGATGATGTGCCTATCGTTTATACGCATATAGTTCCAAATACTAAGGATTCATCGAAAAATGAATTTAATCTGATCATTGCTAATTCGGATCTAGCTTTTCCATTCAATCCTGAATCATTGTACATGTTACCGGAATCAATCAATACTGAAAAAGACAATGATGATGATGATGATGATGATCAAAGTATCCTGAAACACGGTGGACGTATCTATCACGAAGCCGATGATCGATTCGGAAGTTATGGATTAATACGATCAATGCTTGCCCAAGAGATTGGCAACCTGTTCGTTTTGAATGAACAAAAAATACCAATCATTTTCAAATGGAACGGAGTTGAATACAGACTATCGAATAGATTAGCTTCAATTGTCATTGGAAATAAGGACAAATAAACCGGACAATAAAATTTATTTCTTTTTTATTTGTATATAGTAGATTGGTAAAATTCAACTATACACTGAAAAAAATCCTACCGGGAAAAGAGGGCAAATTTTGTACAGTAACAGTTAAATCGAATTGAAATATTGGTATAAAAAATGCGTGGCTTACATAGACTTTTTTCCCCATTTTTTTCAATGTATACTATACAATACATAGCTAGTATATTTTTGTATCAATGAAAAGTTTTCAGATTATAATTTAATTTTTCGTAAATCGTTTGTACTTAGTTCGGAATAAAGCCTTAGCAATTGATGTAATTCATTTGGATTCACTCTCAAGGCATTATAATTTCCTTCAGAATGTATGTAATCATTGATCTCATTGATATTCTCCAATGTGAAAATGACCCCAATGAATTTTAATTTAGAAAAATATTCTCGTAAAGTAATGGTCGTCGGCGAAATTGAGGTTAGGAAATTGATAATGGCACGCACCTCTCTATCTAATTGAAATCCACCAAACTGTAAATAATTCAAAAAAAAAATTAATTGTAAATAAGCAGATGTTTTTAATGCTTTGATCGAGTAACATGATGGGAACTGGCAAATTGATTATCATACTGACCTTATTGAATAGACATTTAAATAAAGCTTTATACAATCGATTGGATATTTCCGCACTGATTACGGTCAAGAGCGTGTCAAAATTTTTCTCGGTTAATTGTTTTTTGAATGGCGCTAATGTTGAATTTATATTCATCAAAAACGTTTGAATGAAAGGCCGTAAACCTTCACTGACTTCATAGGTGATAATATCTTGATCATTCAATTCATGACTAGTTGATATAAATGAATCGATCATTGATTTGACTATTGTTTTGAATACGACTGCGAATAATTGTTGCATACCCGACTGAATCAACATCTGAAACTTGGAACTAAGTGAACTGAAATTCGAAAGACAGCTATCGAAAAGGTCAATTTGATTCTTTTGCAATACACCGCTGTTGGTTACATCGACTGTTATGGTCTGGTTCAGTTTATTTAAATATTCACAAGCCGTGTCCAGATTGTTCAATGCACATATGAACATTATTTTCATCTGTTCAACATCGTTGGAAGATTGGAGATATCGCCCAGCTTGAAGAGCATTATATGCATTGGCTAGATCCAAAGTTGATGACGCATTCGGATAGCCACATTTGATACGGTTATTGATTACTTCATAGAAAATCGTTTCCAAAACAATACTACAATGATTGATCATGGCCATTATAACATTGGCTGAGCCACACGATATGGCTCTTTTAAGGCATTTTTTAATAATAAAAAATATATCATCAAGCATGCTCGATGTAATTGCTGTTGAATCCAAATCTTTATGGTCAATATCAATCGCATCCAATTGAATGGCTTTCTGTATAGATTCTTTTAGGAAATATTCTTCAAGCAAAACATAAACGGAATCTAGATCATGTATCATACGAGAAAGAGTACAGTCCCTAATAAGAGAATCAATATCTTGAGAGCCAAATCTAACAGGTAGTTCGTCATGTCGTTGATCCACTTTTTCATTGTTCTTGGCAGCTTCTATATCGCCAATCAAACGGTTGGAGATGAAATTGAGGTATGTTTGGTTACGATTTATCATGTACATAATATCGTTTAGATGTTTGTCAACCACTTTTGGATCTAATTTGTTCATATTCTGGTTAGTGGAAAAATTTTTCAAAGCTCGTGACACGTTTGATACAAGGGACGTGAAAGTTTTTTCATTTTGGTAATCCTCGATAATCGATTTTACTTGTGCGTCACACTCTTTTTGCAATTTTACGACAACCGGAAATAAATTCCCGGGACCATAATAAGTTTCGATCAGCGGATAATGAACATCGATTTTTTGCGCAATTGTTTCAAAAAGATTGGACAGCTTGGCCAACGTAACAGAACCTTTTGTGGCAGCATTGATTTTTTTGTTCGTGATTTCTTCAATAATCTGTGACCGAAGATAATTTGAAAATTGATCCAAACCTTGTTTGTGCTGTTTAATTAACGGAAATATTTTAAAGAATCGCTCAACACCGGCGCTATCTTTATGAGCGACAGCTTCATCAAATCGTATCATAACTATTGATTTCAGATTTTGTTCCGCTTCATGCAATTTCACAAAAGATTGTTCCAATGAACAAGTATCAGGCATTTCATTATTGCCGCTAAGACTTTCATCCAATGCCGTTTTTCTCAACATAGATTCATCCATAGACAAAAATCTATAGATATGGCGAGCAGCTTTCTCATAATCTTCATCGGCCAATGATTTTTGTATTCCATCTGTACATGAACGAAGGTCGATAATATCTTCTACTTGTTTCAAACATTCACTCACACGATTTTTGACCAGATCAAATGAACGTATTTTATAGCTAACATTATCAGCCATGACTGATGTGAAATTTATCAAATTGGCTAAACGTTCAGCGTCGCTTTCGATTAACGATATGTTAGCCATGTGTTTGATTAACGATGTCATTAATAATTGCAATTCGTTTTCTTTTTTCAGAAATAAATCAACGTCTTGCTGGATCATTTGTTCTTCTTCATTAAGATGTTCCAACGTGCTTAATATATCGGATCGACTTTGGATGTGTCGAAATTCATCCATGATTAAAAATCAAATTGAAATCAGATTATCAACAACAATATTTATTATTTATCATTATTTAATGTGCAAGAAATTGGGAAACGTCAGCTGTATGGCCGACTCTATCGGCGTTTACTAGATGGCAGACCAGAATGATTAGAATCAATCATCAATAATAAAAAGTGATTAAAATGCCAAAAAATTATCATTTATTAATGAAAAGTATAATTAAAAGATAATAAATAAATATAATACAATCAAAATATGAAGGCAAATAATTATATTGATGATTGATAGCTCAATTGTAAACAATTTTTTTCGCCCAAGATAGACCAGAGATCGAAGTTGTACAATAATTACGATTGGGATGTTCTACTGCACTGGATATATTACCATTGGCACCAAGATAATCAATACCAGAATCCAAAGAGAATTTTTCTGTTAATAATTTATGTTTTACTTTGTCGATTATGGAAGAGTTTTCTGGCTCAGTAAAATCAATATAGTTTTTATCATCGCGTTTTATATTCATGACACGATCATTGAAATTATTCATTTTATCTTCGATCATTGTTTTCAATTGTTCCGTGTCATAATTTAATTTATCAATATTGGCCAAGTGTTTTATTTGTTCGATATCATCAAATTCGAATACTCGCTTGGCAAATTCAATTACTTCAAATATAAAATTACACGTCGAATTCCATTTAATGAATTTACTGGACATGTCCAGTTCACCAGTCTGTTCATTTATCAACGGATGGTGAGGTATTGGATCAAATATTATTTTCTATGAATAGAATGATTAATCATAAGGTGGCTGATAAATTCATTTGAAAACAAACCGGTATATCACAATTAGGATATGATGGGCTGATGTGTATAGAGAAGCGAAATATTTTTCCTTTGTATAAACCATGATGGATGAACATTACTCCAAACCATTCAAATGCAGATTCATGAGATGGTGATATGTAGACATGAAGAAATTCTTGTTTTTGAAACAAAACGCTAAAAGGAAGTAAGTAAGTAGAATTAGAATAATTTATAAACATTGTGAAAATACAAACAATTCTTTCATGAGTTGATATTCGATGAAAATCATAGAACATTGTGGTGATGATGGCGGTAATGATTGTGTTGATTGATTTAATGGAAATCGATTCGGATTAGATTTTGTTTTAGATGCTGACTGTTGTTGTTGGGTGGCTTCCATGATTAAATGACACGTATGGCTGAAAATTCCGTAAACAATCAAATACAGTAATACCCCGCTTAACGCTGTTTCGATATAACGCTGTGCAATTACATTACATTGTTTTCCTGTACAAAAATTTTCCTCTCATATTTCTATACTGCTACATTTTAAATTATCAATAAAGTCAAAATAGACAAAGTAGACTGTGAATATAGTAGCAATTTTTACAATAAAATAAAAATAAATTTTGACCACGCATTTTGATTTGAACACGCAACCTTTTGATAAGCTTCAGATATCCAATAAAGTCAAAATAGACAAAGTAGATTTTACCAAATGTTGAAAAAAAACTTGATTTTTCATCTTTTGACGATGCCTAGGAGAGATAAAAATACAAATAAATCAATAAAAACAAATTTTGACCCGGACGTGATTTGAACACGCAACCTTTTGATAACATCCAGAATTATAAAATTTTTATACTGGAGTCAAACGCGCTACCAAATTGCGCCACCGAGCCAATGTCACAATTGAAATAGTTACCGACTCACCTCATAAGTCAGTTCATAACTCTCTTCAATGTTGAAGATAATTGAAAATTCAAAGTGAATTGATCGAATTTCAGTCAACTCGGATTATCAATCGATTATTCATTGAAAATCCACACTCGCAAATTTTAGCCATTCCCATTTTTTTTCAGTAAGTTTAACATTTCGTTAAAAGCTTCAATCTGACATTTTTTATAATTGAGTTTCAGAAACTTGATTGCCAAATTTGAAAAATATGATTTTTTGACTCAAGATTCGCTTATTGAAATACCTCGAGATTGGCACGAAGAAAAAACTCATGAAATAATGATTCTTGCACTTATCGACTTTTTAAAATGTTCATCTCTGTCTTGAAATGTTCAATCAATGAATCATAATTATTGATAAATGTAATTAACAACATGAATCAATCGAATGCTTCAACCGCTATTGGAACAAGCCTTATCATTGTAAATCTGTTCAACAGGTTTTTGGTCGTCAATGGCTCGTTCTGAAAAAGACAGCTTTAGTACATCTCTGATGATGATTCTAGTCATCGAATCGATAATGATGAATCTATGAAACATGAGACATGGATAATAAACAAAAATAAAAATGATCATGAATCGGAATCATCATCATTACAAAATTTGTGGCGAGATGATTGTCATTTTATTACGTAAAAATGTTGGACATTCTTGATATTGTGAACAGGTAAGGTTGGTTCGATTTATTACCACTATTTAGTTTATTAGCAAGTAATTCCAATTTTTTTCCCCAGATTCAGGTGGAATATGTTGAGTTTTTTTAATGACACGTCGCACTAACAAAAACTGCACAATTGGTATATAAGAACAACCAGTCGTAACAAGAACAAAGCAAGAACTAGAACTTTATTTTTCAGACTCAATAATATCAACAGTAACAAAACAGTTCGATAATTCAATTAACATAAATACATTATTTCATATTCAACAATTAATCATAACAGAATGTAAATAGATAGGATCAACGAACAAATTAATCAATCGATATGATGGAACCAGACATTAATAATAAATGATGATATCACTTACCAACAATGATTATATTGATATTCCCCCATTGAAAAAGGTTAAATTTGATTCAAAAGTTTGTTTTTTTTTAATTTTTTTTGTCTACATATATATAAATGAATGTTTTTTATTGACAAATAAATCGGTTTTTATTATCTTTTATTTGCTTTTTTTTGAATATGTTTGATTTTTTATTGAATTAACAAATGATTTTGGAAATATGAATTATTAACAATTGGTATATTCGAACAGAAAAAAACGGAAAGAAACTTATAATAATCAATAGAAATTTAGTGACAAATATTTATGTTCAAAAACAGAATTTGTAAAGTTCCATAATTAAAAAACAAAACATAGCAAAGCAACAACAACAGGTAGGTTGGATTTTTCATTTTCTCGATTCTGAAATGGTCGTATTTTTTTGGTAAATTCGTACGTTGTCTTTTTTTCTCATCCATTGGGAATTTTCATTTTCATATTCTGGCTGTAATTGCCTATAATTCGGCAATTTATGGTGTTGATGTTCCTGGATCATCATTAACAGATAGTGATTGCAAGGAATTTAATATCAATAATTCGAATACAATCTTGGATCTTATCAACGATAGTTATGGTATCAAAATTATGGGTGTCAATACGTTATTGGCATGTGGCAATCATCATTTGCCTGGCATACAGAAGATATACCATATATAAGTCAGGCAACGGTGACGATAGATTTGATCGGAAACATTTCAATTCTTCATAGATGAATTGGCCATCCGATGGTGATACACCTGAACTTATTACAGCTCGACCAAGTTCAGTTACATTAATTGGTGATGATGAATCAACCGATTTTGTTTCACTACTGTTATTCGCTTCTTCAGATGAATCAATAGAGATAAATTCATAAGTTTTTAATTTATCCAATGCCATACGTATACATTCATTAATGATTTCAACCTTTTCCATTCTTAATTCTTCCATATTTGTTTGTGATGATTGCTGTTCTTCAGATGCCAACAATAAATTTAATGGACAATTACAAAAAAAAGTACGGCCAAGATAAACATGAATATCATCGATATTTTTGACCATTTCATTTGCAATCACTTCAAGAACAGCACGTAAAATTGGATCATTAACTACAGGTTCCCATTGTTTATTAGATGTAGTTGGAATTTGTTGTCCAACACTAGTTGTTGTTGTTGCAGATGGTTTGTTATTTTTCAATTTTTGTATCGTAATTAAATTGGATTTAATTGATGGCATTTTGGTCGTAATAAGTCGACGAGCCATATTGATATCTTTGTCCGTACAGAAAAGATAACTTTCGCCCATTGTATCGATTCCCTTACGTCCAGCACGGCCAATCATTTGACGATAAATACCAACGGGCAATAGTTTACTGGAATAATCGTATGGTGATATGATCATCACACGTCGTGCTGGTAAATTTACACCGGTTGAAAGTGTGGTTGTACAACAAAGTATCTTCAAGGGAGCATCACGAAAACCTTGTTCAACTATGCCACGTTCTTCCATTGTCATACCGGCATGATGGAATGCACAACCAAATTTCAATACACGTTCAAGATTTTGATCAAAACCAGAAGATGAACGTTTCAATGTGTTGATGAGCGAAACAATTCGTTCATATGATAGGATATTATCAGAATGAATACTTTGTCGAATATTACGTTAGAGATCATTCTGTGGAACATGATCTTTCTGGCCAATGTTGAATATGTTGGCAGCAATACTGTTAGCCATTGATTCACACATTGAACGAGTTGGACAGAAAATTAATGTAGAAAAACCTTGAACCAATGTTTCAATGGCCATGTAAATCAACGATTTGGAAAAGGTTGTATTTAATTTTAATAGATTACAATCAATTGTCTTTATCGGTATACATTCGATTTTTCCATTGTTGTCATTATTACTCGGACCACCACTTGAAACAACTGTCGATGCTAATGAATCAAACTGTGTGTATGGTGATTGAATTGAATTTGTCGAAATTTTGATAATTTTATTGTCAACAACATGTTCATTTAACGGTACTGGTCGATAATCGGTAACAAATAATTCAGCATCCAACCATTTGGCGATATCATTAAGATTCGGTATTATTGCTGACATGCCGATAATTTGTAATTGACGAAGATCGACATTTAATTTCATATAAATCAATTTTGATAACATTAATTCGAGAATATAGCCTCTTGATGTATCACCGATCATATGTAATTCATCAACAATAACAAGCCCGATACGATACATTTCTCTTTCTTCAATCAATCGGTTGATCATATTGTTTGCTTTTTCGATAGTACAAACAGCTACATCGACTTCTTGTATACCACCAAGAGGATTTGTTTGTCCAGCAAAGCAATCTATTCGTATACCAACTTGATTGAATAGCGGTTTTAAATTTTCCACTTTTTCTAATGATAACGAAACAAATGGCAAAACGATAATGGCTTTTTTACGCCTTTCCAATAATGTTTTGAACAAAAGAATATCGGCAACCATTGTTTTTTCGGCACTGGTTGGCGCAGAATATACAAGATTTTTTTTGATCATCCAGTACACCGGGTAATTCAAGGCATTCCACTTGCCAATCAAAAAATCGATTTATACCCATTTGGCCATAATAATGTATTATTTTTTCGGGTAGACTCCAATTTTTTATTTGTTTTTTATCGTCGATTGACGTTTCATTTTGCGATTCATGATAAAATTTACGTTTGAAATTAGTTGACATCGTAATTATTACAATGATAATATAATAAAAAAGACATAAAGAGATAGATATATGTGTTATACAATCAAAATGATATGCAGCAAACAGTTTTCGATGATGTAACAATTGAATTTTAATAAAATCTTTGAATATATCGCCAAAACATTGATTTCAATTCAAACGTTGGTGTGTGTGAAATAATAGTAGAGGTTGTTATAAAATTATCAACATTCTCCTGTACCACTATCTTCCGAACATTATTTGGTATAATGGATCAGTTCATTAGTGAGGTTTTTTTGTGGGGAAAAAATTTTTTTGTATGAAATTCCAATTGAAAATACTTTTATTTTTATTGATTTTTTTCCACAGAAAATATTGAACACTAGAAAAAAATATTGAACCAGATAGATAAGCAGACAGGCAAACAGATATAAATAGCAGGACAAAAATGATGAAATAACAATCACAAAAATTTCGTTTTTTTTTGTAATTTTTTTTTATTTTTGTACATATATGTGTTAACAATTATTTATTATATATATGTCACGGCATTTATGAAGAGGGCCGTGTATGAGTAGAACAACGTGATGGAGTGGAAAAAATGCGTCACTGGTGTCTTGGCAGTTGAAGTAAACGTGTCTTCGTAAAAATTTGATAAATTGAAATAAAACCGAATTGTTTTTGATTTGACATATATATAAAGAAAAAAAACATGTTTTAAACAAGTTAATATTATAAACAAATTATAGAAATATTCAATGGTCTTTGCAATGTTATTCGAGTAGTGATGAAAATTTATTGGGTCGAAAATCACCAATTGAATGTACAAAAGTAACGGCAGCCATATGTGTGGACATAATGTTGATTTGGAATGATAAACAATAACCTAAACGACGTAGTACACGTTTATGACATTTCAATTCATCCATCTGTAATAAACTTCTAGTTTGTTTCATCATTTCTTTGGTTTGTTCCATTTTATGTTTTAGACGATCTTTTTCATGTATACAATTTTGAAGAATTTTCCAAAATGGATTTGTATATATATCAATAGATGTATCAGTATATTTATCAAGTTGTTCTTTACAATTAGGAATGTTCTTCTCACAAAAATGATAATGATTGACAATAGTTGAAAAATCTTTATAAGTATGAAAGAAATGTGAAAAAATTTTAAAATAATTAAAAATCAATTAAAACTTACTTTCTTCCAGCTGCCGATATTCAAGATATTGTTGAAAGTGAAAAAAACTAAAAATAAAAACTATTTCGGTTTTATTTCAAATTTATCAAAATTTAATATTTTACAAGAGACACGTTCGCTTTAACTACCAAGACTCAAGTGACACGTTTTTTCCACACCACGTTGTTTTTCTTATCCACGACTCTCTTCATAAATGTCGTGACATATATTTGTAATTTTTAGATTGAATAATAATAATAACCAGCCCGGTACAGGCGCTTCGCGCCTGCCCAGGCTGGCCTTGCGGGACTGTCTATCCTTGACGGTCAATAAAGCTGGATACCCGCAGGTGTGGCGGCTGCGCCGCCCCCCTGCTTGGTACCCAGCCAAAGGTATCAATCCTTGACGGTCAATATAACTGGATACCCGCAGGTGTGGCGGCTGCGCCGCCCCCCTGCTTGGTACCCAGCCAAAGGTATAAATCCTTGACGGTCAATATAACTGGATACCCGCAGGAGGGGACGGCTGCACCGCCCCCTGCTTGGCATCCAGCCAAAGGTGTCAATTTTAACGCTTCGTGCCTGACGGTGGATTTCTATGCACGGCGTTTTGCTTCCGGCTTTCGGTTTGGTACCGCAGGGTCAGCCATGACTTGTGTATTGTACCTGACACCTTTGAAAATGTTACGTAAATCCAACATCAACTTATCGATCAAACAGCATATACTCACGCCTACGTGCTCTTTCTTGTTCGTTTAGCATTTTCTTTTCTTTATTTTTTCTTCAAACGAAAACACTAAAAAAATGAATGATGATGGTGAACAAACAATTAAACGAAAACACTAAAAAAATGAATGATTATGGTGAACAAACATGAACAAAAAATGAAATGAAAATTATTCGAATTCAAATTCGATTTCGGAATATAAAATGATGGTGATTAGATTAGATTAGAATTGATAAAAACAATACTCACTTTTCAATACTCATACTCATACTCATCATATACTCATCACATATTCATACATGAACACAAAATGAAAATCACGTGTGTCACTATCTAAAATTCGAATTCGAACTCTTTCTATGTTCTATTGAATGACTGCACCATCTATTGGATGCAAAAGCTGCAGCAACGTGTGCTGAGCTAGAACAATGAAAAAAAGCTTTGTCAAAGCTACATACCACAGAAGTGACTTCTACTTCTGAGCTGGACGAACTGTTCAGCGGCATTCAAAAGTTTTTCCGCATGCTCAGACACACACACACAACACACACTGAGTAGCTCATACTAAATAGTTATGTTTGTACTGAAAATAAGCAGGAATGGCCGGCTCAGCTTCGCCGCATTAAATGCCAAGTTAATACACAGTGCTAGTACACAGTGCAAGCACTTGGCGAGTGTAAAAGTTGCAGTTACACACAAACGTTAGCCTCTTAAAGAGATAATAAATAAATAAATAGATAGATAGATAATAAAGAGATAGATAGATAGATAGATAGATAATAATTTATTTGCAAAGAACAAAGTACGAAGTCCGGAGACTTTTGTACCGGGAGACGAATAAAATACATGATTCAAGGAAAGAGAGATTATGACAGTGACCTATAAGATAATGAATAATTTTTAGATTTAATAATACAGTAATACCCCGCTTAACGCGGGGTTACGTTACAAAAATTCTGAGCGTTAAGCGAAACAGCGCTAAGCGGGGCTATTTTTACATAATGCATTTTCACCCTTCATATACTTGTAGCCATCAAATTTTTATAATTGATAACTTTTTTTCAAAAAAAAAAATTTGGGCATTAATGGGTTAATAAAGGCATAGGGGTTATTTCTAAAATAAAATAAAAAAAAGAAACGAAATTTTCAAAACTAAATATTAATTCAATTTTAATTTTTTCTTCGAAATAATTGATTTGATAAAATCTTTATGATTGTTTGTGTTTTGAGAGTGTTGTGTGTGTACTGTTTTTTTTTTCATAATAACCATAAATTTTTTTTAAAAATTCTTTATCACTTGTATGTGTGTGTGTGGTTGTGTGAAGTGATGAGTGAAACATAATCATATAACTAAAAAATATAGAATCAAATGATAATGATGAAATAATTTTTGTGAATAAAAAATTAATGAAATAAAAATTAAAATATCCAATTTTTCATTAAAAGTGAGAAAAAAAAACTCCTCTAAGTTTCAAATAAAACAATTAAACACGTACACACATATGAAAATTTCATTGGTTTTTTTTCTGTTGTAGTTGTTTTTTTATCATTGTAATCTATATTAATATATAATGGTAGCATAAAATTGTTTATCGAGAACATATGCACAATGGTCAAAATATATAATATATAAAGTTTTGTAAATTGAATATATTTTGTGATTTTTCTCAAAAAGATTGTGAATAAAAAAAAATGCATGAGTAGTAGCCAATGAATAACATAGAATATATGAAATGAAAATTACACAGCGGCCTGTGTGTGTGTGTGTGTATGTCTTGGGAAAGGGTTGAAGGTTTGCATTATCATTCATTATGTAATTAATTATATCAAGAATTTTATTTATGTAATGATTATCATCATTTCATCATATAGCTGCATCTCATGAGCTTTCAAAATTGAAGGTAGGTGTGTGCAAGAAAAAAAAGCTGTCAAATGTTTCTTGTGTTTTACATGTGATCAAATAATAATAATTGAATTTAATTTCGTCAATAATAATTAGAGCTCTTTTGTGCGGGTGTGTGTGTGTGTGTAAAACGGATCGTTGATTCAAAAATATGGGGTGTATGATCGAATGGTAATGAATAATTAAGGAAATTTTTTTTTGCTGAATTTCGTCCAATTTTTTTTGTATAAAATATCATCAATGGGTGTAGAATGGCTTGTAGATGATAATCATAATGATATTTGTGTGATGTTTTTGTTTTTTTTTTTTTTTTGAGTGTATGTAAGAGAGAGGCTAATTTTATTCGTTTATGAGATTGAGTAAATTTCGTTCGAAATTTGATTGATTTACATTTTTTTGTCACCGAGATGAAAAAATGATAAAATCAAAAAAAGCGCTTTAACGATCAATGGATGGATGTATCGAACGAAACGTTGATTAGAAATTAATTCAATGTCATGGCATGTTGTTCATCTTTATCTTTTTTCGATTTACGTTTGGAAAAGAATGACAATGAATGACCCTTTTTTTTCTTTTTCTTTTCCTCTTTCATTGGTGAACCCTTGGTTAAAAATGATTATTAGACATTACAATCATTAACAAATGAATCGAATCATACCTCTCTGGATAAGGTATCAGCACCACTAGCTCCGCGTTCCAATGTACCATGTTTATCATCGCCATTTACATTTGATTCTATATTTGAAGCAAGAAAAAAACAAAATTTCAAAATAATATGAAAGGATTAGTATAGAAAAAAAATAATTTCATGAATTCCTTTAAGCGAAAAATGACAGAATTTATACGTTCCCAGTATAATATATGCAAATATTCAAAAAACCAATAACCCACACCCATATAAATTTACATTCACTAACATTAATTTTCTGGAACTAAAAAACTTACGTGATCTTTGTGGTTTTCGTTCGGACCTAAATCGTCCTCTAGCAAACAATTTATCTTCGGTGGCTGGTTAGCATTGGTATTTGGTTTTTTTTGTGTTAGCAACAATCCAGACGGGCAAACACACGAGTAACACAGTTAGGTATTTATATTGATCATCATCATCATGATTAATACAAAATAAAACAAGACACATAAGCAGGATGAATTGTGGTAAGATGTGACATGCAACGAATCAAATAAAAATTAGGTCAAAATTCAAAATGACAATTTAAGTGTGAATTTTTTCATACAAAAACGGATGGATAAAAAATAAAAATAAATTAAAATTACATAAAACAAAAAAGTAAAAATACTAAGGAAAAATTAGCAAGGAAATCAGTCAGATGAATAACAGGAAACAGAAGTAGTTGCAATAGAATGTTTAGATGTAGGATTCGGACAACAAAAACAATAACAACAACATTTGTAACAATAAAAAATAAATTTCGACCACCAGGTATGACAGGAAGTTTTAATGGCCATCACTGGTTCTTTAACCATAAAATCAGCATCATCATACATTCATTCATTCATTTAATATTATAATTAATTCGATTTGGCGAAATTATGGCGGCAAACTAAAATATACGAATAAGCGATATCTTACCTTTTTGACTTTGACTTGGTTCAGAATAATCTGCTTCTGTGTATGTTGCTGAAACAAGTTTTATTGTCACGAATTAAGAATTCATATTTGCGAATAAATATTTTGTGTTTATGATTATTTTTATCAAAGAATAAAGGCAGGCACACAGACAGAAAGACAGGCAAGACCAATATAGATAGAGCGAGAAATAGAGAACGATAAATAGATCCGAGATGAAAATATAAAATTAGAAAAAAAATAAGATAAGATAAAGAAATTATGATATAAATCAATTATATGGTTGACTGTGTGACATGAGTGGGTATCAATGGGTTTGTAAATGGTAAAGATATCAAAGACACCAAAGTTATTGAAAACAACGAAAGGTTCCTCAACAAAAGACAGATAGAAATAGACCAATAACTGAAACAGAAAGATATACAGATACATGGTCTACAATGGTGAGATAAAAACTTTACCTTTAAGAGCTAATCTAGCTGAATGTGATCTATGTACTCCTCCTCTACCACCAGTCAGATCTATACTCAGAATATATCACATTTTTTGGGAACAAATGATTCAAAACCAATATTATGTGTATGTGTTTGTACCGCCATTGGAATCGAGTTTTTTTTGTAGGTGGTTTTAGTCGGTTTAGTATATGTGTGGATGTGTGCGTTTGTAATATGGCAGTGAAATTACAAAAAAAAAATCAGTTTGATTGAGTGAAATTCGGTCGCAATCGATTGAGGTTAGTAGGACAACGACAACAAATACGGATATGATTCGTTTTAGTTTTGATGAAAATGTGTATTAAATTCGGGGTAGTAAAATAAAATACAAAAAATAGGTGAATAACTTAGTGTTATATATTCAAAATAAAATGAGGAAAAGGTCAAATGATCTACTAGTTTGTGGTTATATGAAATTGATTAGAAAAGATTATCTTACCTTCTTCATCCGAAAGAGGTGATGTCGGCGATGTAGGACTAGCAATGTCTTGCGAATCTTGTTGATTAAAAGACATTGGTTCAACCATTAAATGTTTCATTTTTTCTGGAATATCAACTAAATTGGAATGAATAAGAATGATAAAGCGATCAATAATGATGAAAGATTAAAATGTTCTCAATTACCATTTTCACCACGTTGTTTACGTTCAATAAGATTACGATATTCCATTAATTCTTCTTCGGTGACACCATCGAATGGATTTTTAGCATATGCACTTCGATAGACGGTAGCATTATGTTGGAAATCTCGTTGAATAATTCCTTTAGATGCTGCGCCCAAATACACACGACCACCATCGATGTTATCTTGTTGTGCAGCACGTCTTGCATCATCCCAATTTGCTCCTTCTAAGATTAAACTCTGTGGTCCACTAGAAATCATATTCTTCATTCGAATCTCTTTCATCTGTACAGGAAAAATGCAAGTAATTAATTTAAAAATAAATAATTCCAAATGTTTCCATGTTTCCAAACCTCTTTCTGTTTTCGTTTGAATTCGGCCGGATCGCCTCCATTAACACCAACAAATTGATTATGACCATCAATTTTGACCGGGGTGCTATGATTGGGTGATGCGCCATCTTGTACCCACTGCAAATAAGCACAAATTCATTGTCATAATTCAATACAGATTAATAAAAAACAAAACAAACTTTGGTAATTTTTTTTGGGTCCATTGTACCCGTTTCGAGCACCTCGACCTTTTGATAGCTATTCGGTGAATTAACCCAATTCAATTTATCCTGTGTACGTTTTCCCTGCACCAATTTTCGTAACGGACTAAGCCATTTATCTTCTTCATATTGACCGGCATGTGATGTGACAGCCGGTGGCACTTCAACATCCGAACGTGGTCGTGCTGATTCGGCACGCAACAATGGTTGACGATATATGTAGCCAGTACGGAATCCCTACATTCATATTCAGGTGATCATCATCAAAAACAATAGAACAACCAAATAATTATCATAATCGATAAATCACGATTGCAAATTGTCAGAAAAAATTATCAAACAATAGAATCATTGATGAAGACAATAAAAATTAGCAATCAACCTACCGCATTGTCTAACATACGCATCCGTGCTTCGAATTCCAAATCCCAGATTTTCCATTTTTTGGGCTTTTGTTTATCATCTTTTGAATCAAGACCTTGTACAGAGGCGCCAGCATCATCACGAAGAACTTTTTGTACCTCTTCAAATGTTTCTTGTGGCAGTAATTGAATGTTTTCCATTCCCACCTGTGCGAGACGAATTTGTGTCTCGCAAGCCAATACAAGATTATACATAAGGAAGAATGCTTCTTCCAATGATTCACCACACGTAACAACACCATGATTGCGGAGTATCAAAACCTAACGGTTTAAATACAAATGATGATAAGGTAAACTCTTGATTGTAAAAAAAACCCAATACCTTGTTACTTGGTCCTAGATTTCGAACAATATCAGCTCTTTCCTCTGGATTGACCAATAAGCCACGATAATCATGGTAGCTAATGTGACCTAGAACACAAGATTCTTGACAACATAGCATTAGACCTTGTTTCATGGCCGATACAGCCACACAAGGTCCATAATGAAGATGTATGACGGCATTAATGTCTGGACGAGCCGCATGAATGGCTGAATGCAATACATAACCAGCTCTGATTAAAAAAGATTATTAATAGAACGCTTTGCTTATTGATAAAGGATTTTTGCATAATTACTTGTTGAATGTAAAATTCGTTGAACCAGGATCGACAACGTTGCCTTGTAGATCCACTTTTATCAAAGAAGACGCGGTCACTTCATCATATTGCAATCCGAATGGATTTAATAGAAAATGTTCCTGTTCTCGGCTGACTCTAACGGTGATGTGATTATAGATGCTCATCGACCATCCATATAGATCGACCAAACGATAAACGGATGCCAATTTACAGCGCAGTAATTTTTCTCCTTTAGCATATTTGAGTCCATCGACACCACGGATATCATTGATTGGTGGTCCACAATGTCCCAAACGCAATGCACGACTACTGGCACCAGGCATCAATAATTCTGTCACCTGTTGCAATGCCGATAATGATGCCGGTAAATAGCCATCATTCAATTGTGACTCGATTATACGTTCCAATTCTTCACGGAACACCTGGCTGTTTAATATGACATCAACACGACGACGACGATCCATTTCCTTCATATCTTGTTCAATATCCGGGGGACGCATCATCTGTCGTTGAATTTCCGGATCATCTGGATCAAATTCATCATTATGGTGATTATTCACCGCTTGGGTGGCCATTTTATGTTCACTTATTGTATTCAATGAGAAGTATACTAAAAAAAATCTTGTTTGATCAGCAAACACGACAATAAAATTACAATAGTGATGATGATGTTGATCCAACAATAAGGAAAAAAATTAACGATGATGCAGATGTCGAATATGACAATGAAGATTCCCTAATTACAGCTGCTTCAAGTATATGAAATTCGTAGAAAAAATGAAAGTGGACAAAGTTTTCCAGGTTTCGATTATCATTCGATCGTCAGTCAAAAGTTTTTCTTCCTAAATTACAAACGAAACAAACAGACAAAAAATAGTATTAGTAAAAACAAACAAAATAAATGTTTTATATATTTAGAATCATCGAATATTATCAAACCAATTAAAATAGAAAAAGAGTGACATGAATAAAAAAACAGATATTAATCAAGCTAAAATTCTCCATTCCAAATATGATTTCAATGAGGAAAAATATTAGATTTGGCCATTCACAAAGAAATGACATGCTTATTAATTCATTCATTACACAATAAGTAAGCAATCGTCATCACCAGTTTTTATTCTTAGTTACTACTAGTTCCCAATGGTATTTTGTCCAAAGACAATGATTCAGGTTGTTGTACATAACAATACAATAATATTTAGGGTCAAGTGCAACTTTTTCAACTTGCCTGACATAACAATTAACACCTCCGTTGCTATCATGATTTTTGATATGATATGATTGAAAATCATGACATGTGTGGGAAGTAAATATTGTCCTAAATAAGCGAAAGGCTGGCTTCAAGTTCACATAAAAAACCGAATCAACCAATCAACATAGCTTATGACACATTACAAACCAATTAAAAAAAGATGAAAGAATTGGTTTGCTGTAAATGTGTGTCATTCAATCATTGACTGTTTCAGTTAATTTTTCATAAATCGATTGAATGATTAGAAATGTTTAACGAATTTTTTTATTTAAATGAAATGATCTCAAAGAAATCTAATATTGTAGCCAAAAAAAAAATTGAAATCGAATTCATCTGCTGCATAATTGGAGGAATGAAAGAAATGAGATTTTGCATGCTTACGTTTTGTTTTTGACATTGAACACAACTTAAAGAGAAGAAGAAAGAAAATAGTCAATTCTTTTTATTAAAAATTCTAGCCAACGACCCGAACATTCATGTCAGACGAGAATAAATTCTTTTTTGGAGATTAGATAATCGTATATATTAATTCTTTATGAATTTGAAATGTTGAAAAAACAACAAACAAACCAAGACGGAAATAAAATACTGACAAATGAAATTCACATTCTCTCGATGTTCATATAAAGTTGAATAAATAATGGAGATGTAAAGCCAACATTTTTCTCGTTATCTAGAATCTTGCACGCTTGTTGAACATTATCATCACGGAGGCACATGTGCACATGTAAAGGTGCCAAAAATAAAAATTTTTTCTGCTTAAAACCAAAATAAAAGCAATTTTTCAATATAATCAAACTCATTGCAAGAATACCAAAAAAAAAACTTGGGCAAATTCTATTGGATGAATCAGATTACTAATGGTGATGGCATCAAAAAAAAAAGATTGATTTTTTTCGCAAACGAAACAATTTGGTAAATAAAAAACTTGGCTAATGATAACTTTGCGCAGGCTTTTTATTAAATTTAATTCAGGGATAATCATTGCAACATTATTGATGGATCTCATAATTTCGAAAAATGCCGTAAACTATATTGTGAATGTTATTAATCTCAAAAAATCTGTGGTAAAATGACAAAATCGTTTGTGTAGTCATCCTCATAATAAAATTTGTAGATGTAGTTGTCTGCTATATCATATCACATGTAATATAGTGGATAAAATCCATTTGTTATAACAATTATGCGAATACAAATCGTAGAATACATTAGTAGCTCAAACTCTTTAATTCTTTCACATTCTCTTTAGGCTAAAAAATTCAATTGTGTACAAAGGCAATAGGATACAAATATATTTTCAATGAGAGAGTAAAATTAACCTTCAACAATCAATCTCTCTCTCTCTCTCTCTTACTGTTTAAAGTTATGATGTTGAAATGACGACGACAATCAGCCAATGATTATATGTGGTGGCAAAGTTAATGTGTAATGATGAACACACATAATTACAATCGATTTAAGCATTACCTTTTAAAATAAAAACATACACACAAAACACAGTGAACATTCATTATTGTTTTCAATTTTGATCTTAATGTGTATGTGTATATGCATGTTCGTTTTTTGGGAAGGGATACACGAAAGAACGAACATCCCAAATGACCAACATATTTCTAATAAATCAAATGACAATTGTTTGGCAAGGTCAGCCATAACACGAACATTCCAACATGCTATCATCATCATTATCAATAGGCATTATCATTTGTAAATGATTCATAAAAAAATCGATACATTCAATTCTTGATGAAATGAAAATTGGAATTCCAAACTATATGAATCAATGCAATTAATTGATTGATGATTGATGAACAATAAAAAGTGTGAATATAGCCGTAAAATGAGCTAAGGAAACATTTTTTCCTGGCAAACACTTGAAAACTGTGAATAAACACATACACACCTAGTATATTTGATATTCAATTTCAATAATGTCCGTTTTGCCACACTTGCTTTCGTTTTATTTAATAGAATTTGAAGCTAATGCAAATGATGAAGCCAGTTATTTTATTGAAATAAAATGAATGATGATGATGATGATGAATAAATGACAGGTATCATAAATCTAGCGAATTTAAACAAACAAACGATAGGAGAAAAAAAGGTCAAATGACATTTTGAAATTGTCTAAAAATTCGACTCTCTCTCTCTCTCTTCAATTTCATTGACTAAAATGCTTGAAAAGCAACAAGTTGTAAATTCGGAATGAATTCACTTTATTCATAACAATAAGAGATCTTCACTTGTGAATGGGTGAATGAATCCATCAATATAAAAATAGATCTGATGACAAAAGGACCCAATTTATAAATGATGTGACATTAACTACTTTTAATTCATTCTTTCGACCAACCATTCACGGACGACCAAACAATGAAAATAGTTGGTAGATTTTTTTTCCTATTGATTTTCATTATGATCATCATCAGTCATACAAAAATAGCAAATCAGATGTTTCTTAACCGTAAAATAAGGGACATGTGTGTATGTGTAAACACGATATAGTTTATACGATAAAAAATGATCAATCATATAGAGAATGAATGTCGATGAGGACAAACATGGCTAACAATTAAAAGTTTAAAAATGAAAAAATAAATGACGGTGACAATTTCACAACCGGTAGTATCAACGAATAAAAAACAGCAGAATAATTTTATAGTTTTTCCTTACTGTAGCATGGTGATTCACAACATGAATATCTATATTTAAAAAAAAAATAAAAAGTCTTACCGAAATGATAATTGAATCATAAGCTTGATATGACGACAATAAAACATAATGACCGAGAATGAATATGACAAAAGAATGATGTTGACAATTTTTTTGTTGTTGCTGTTGTTTGTTGTTGTTATGAATACGCCATTCAATTATGTATCAATATGATGATCATAATCATAAAAAAATAGACAAAAGGACATAACGACTGTAATGATCATCATCATCATGATACCCCATTTTTCTTCATCTTTGATATAAATTTATGAGTAATCTATGATAATCAATGTAAATCGATATAGATTGACAACTCAACTGAAGTGATCAAATTATCTTCTATTTGTTCTCTGACTAACATAAAGATACTATAACGATAACAGAATCCTCTTCATTATAATCAATCGGCAAATATGGGAAAAAATGGGCCACAGTACAAACATTTGCGATTAACACCATAGTAAAGACTAGATTATCAACATAAAGAGAGAAAGAGAGAGCGAAAGCAAGTATCAATTTGACATAGAAAATATATAATTTCTTGACGGTTCAATTCAATGCTATGATTTTGTGTGTATCCTGGAATGAATTATGTATATTTATTATCATTGTTGATTGAATATATGAAAAAAACTTGAATTAATGATTGGGATGGATGGCTGGTAAGCAGCAACAGTCTTTGAATAAATGGATATATATATGATTATTATTATTTTTATAATTGATGTTGATCATCATCAATGATGGTTGTCTGGTTGTTTGTTTGTCTGTTTTTTAAGGTTGAATTGATCGTTCGATGCCGTGGATGGACTTTGAAATTGGGCGAGGAATGAGCAACAAAACGCCAACCGCCTGAAAAACCGACAAGATGAGAAAACCAGAAGAAAAGAGGCATAACTTCATTCAAATTTTGAATTCAGTAAATCTCAGTGTGCGTGTGTGTTTTTATATGTGATAATGATAACTGCTCATCTTTTTCTTAGATCATCATTGGAAATGTTTTCATTTCAACAAATTATGCATGTGTGAATTTGAGAACAAGTTATTGATGTGACAAATGGATTAAGAGAATAAATAAACATCGAAATCGAATTTAAAATTGAAAAGATATGATGAAAATCGAGAACATCATCACAACAATCAACAATGACTGATAAAATGGTATTATTTTATTCTAATTTCCAATTCAGATTGATCCTACAGAAATCGGATCCATTTTTGATTGTCATCGACAATTGAAAACAAAAATCATATATTCAACAAAGATTTTCGATACGAAATAAACGTTACAAATTCATTAGTAATTAGATCAAATGAGTGTGTGTTCGAGTCTAAGGAAAAAGATTCTATTTATGATTCTTCAACAAGCACACTATCCGAATTTTACTTTTTTCTCTGTATATAATAATAAACACATTTAACATTGCATGGCTTACCGTAAATAAAAATAAAGAGCCACCAACAGCTAAAAAATCTTTGTTCTTGGCTCAAGTGTTTGTTGATCATCGGCTAATGTCAGATGGATGACGATAATGATTATGATGATGTTCGATATTAATTACAAAGATGTTGTAAAGGATGAAAGTTTTTATTTAGAAAATTTTATTCCGGATCCTATGGATCACATTATCAATAACAAAAACAACAACAAAACAACAAACAAACATTACACAAACATGAAAAAAAGCTGCATTAAATGTTTTGCTTGGAATATGTGATATGGATATATCAAACCAAAATATAAAAATCACCAACTAATTAAGATTCTGCAGCACAACACAATCCATCTATGCGCTTAGCTTCAGATAGACACACACACACACGGATACAATTTCTTGCTCATTCAAATAAACATAGCAGCATCAGGTCCACATCTGTAGCAAGTTATATTATGGTCGTAGTGGTATTCAACGTGATAGTGGATCTTCTATCGAACGTAGTAGCATGTTGAATATTAGACATTGGTTTATATACAGTGTATTTTCACTTTTACTGTTTAAGATTGGAATTCATGGAATTATTGATCCATTGGGTTCTGTTTTTCATAATCCCGATGATCATTAGGTCATAGGGCCATTGACAATCATATTTATTCATTTTACATCTTGTTGAGTCAATTCCAATTCAATTTCCAACATTATAGGTTTTTTTTATAAATTCCATCTAAAATAAAATAAAAATTTGTTAAATCGATCTCATCATGGTCATATTAACACGGTATCCTTCAACCCATAAATCTTTATATATCTATCCAAAGAATTTAGTGACCCTAAAAGAACCTAGATTTCCGCAATTTATTACAATCGTCTACCATACACAAATAGGATGGATGAATTTGATTCGAGGTTAGGGCGCGGTTGTGTATAAGTTTGGTAGTCGTGGTTGTAATCGTGGTGGTGGCTCCATGAAACAGTGGCGCTCATTTCAGGGATTCATATTGTATCCACGTTGTATCGTTTTTGATTTGTGCGTACCGGTTGGTGGCTATGGTTAGGTTGGTCTGAAGATACAATTCTTTACACAAATAGGGAAAGAGACAGACAGACAGATCGACTGTGTTTACAGTCAAACTTCGAATCTGGATCCAATTTGAATTTGTGAATTTTTTTTCTGTCAACTATTTTGAGTTCAAGTTGAGTCATACAAAATGAAACAGATAATGTGAATCTGGTGTGTGTATGGATCAATGGCTTGCTATTGCTTTTGTATAAAATAGTTGGTTGCATCAGCCATTGTTTTCATTTGGTTGAAGATGAACAACAATGAATTGATGAAATGTTACAATCAACACATGACTAACCATGGAAATCGGTCATCATTGATGATAATGGAAAAATGTAATTGGAAAATTCAGACTGGCTGTTCAAAGAGCTAAAAGATTATGTTTTTCACTAAAACTACTGCAATGCGGTCATCGGTAATGTAATGAATATTTTCCTCGAATGCCACTACCAAATTTTATCCTTTATATCTAATATATTCTAGGCCAGAATATTTAGGATATGACGCATGTTTTTTTTCATATCTAATCATTCAGCATCATTTATGCAACCAAAAAAATCTATCGTTGGAATTGCTGCTACCACGCCTTTAATATTTAAATCTTAGTTTTTATATTGATAGAATCGTACGTTAAAAACTAGACTAAAACTATACAGCTGAATCGGATGCAGATGAAAAATTCAAAGCCGGCTACAGCTGTCCAAGCTATGTGTGACCAGGTGGTGCTTTTGATTAGCCAGAATCGATAATTTTAGAATTCAAAACGTAAACCATCATCACCACCACCACTTGAGCAATCGCACAGACGATTCATTTTAAATTAGGCACATATATTAAACTAAAATCTATCATCATTGAAAGAATAAATGAAAAAGCTGTTGGTTGTTTTTTTTCTTTTAAATCAAAATTGGAAAAAAGCATACGCCCAGTAGAAACCTTTCTCTTTGGGTTGATCACAACCATTGCGAATAATATAGTATCACACCTTGTCACGATGTCGTTGTTGTCGTCATTGACCAAAGTATCGTAATTTCCATTCCAACCAAACTGGTCGAGGTTTTCTTTTGTATTCACTTTCACTGATTATATAAACGAAACGGTAACACCCGATTATCTCGATGGTAACCACAAATAACATCGGGACAATTATCAAAACAAATACTACATACGAAAATTCCATTTGTAATCATATAATATCAGATGGTTATAATCGGAACCACATACAGTATATAACACTATGTTGTTAGGTGTGTCTCCCCTCTTTTTCGCACAAGTCGAATGTCATGGCAAATTAATTGAATATTGATCGTCATCTGGTGTCACTGTTTTATACTTTTTCTTATTTATGTAAAAAATATGAAATAGCCCGCGGTTTGAGCCAGAGTAACATTCGTATAGAACGTTAGTGCCCAATAATTGCAAAACATCAATGGATAAGATTCTTTGTCAACATCAAGTTCCTACTTTTCTGAGTGTAGACTTGACTCCCCCATTTTTTTCGGTGTACTTATGTGGTGGCACAGTAGTTTTTTTAATTGTGACATTGGCTCGGTGGCGCAATTTGGTAGCGCGTTTGACTCCAGTATAAAAATTTTATAATTCTGGATGTTATCAAAAGGTTGCGTGTTCAAATCACGTCCGGGTCAAAATTTGTTTTTATTGTAAAAAACGATTGATTTATTTGTATTTTTATCTCTCCTAGGCATCGTCAAAAGATGAAAAATCAAGTTTTTTTTCAACATTTGGCAAAATCTACTTTGTCTATTTTGACTTTATTGATAATTTAAAATGTAGCAGTGTAAAATAAATTCCAATGTTTATGAATAAAGTTGATCAAAAGGTTGCGTGTTCAAATCACGTCCGGGTCAAAATTTGTTTTTATTGTAAAAATTGCTACTATATTCACAGTCTACTTTGTCTATTTTGACTTTATTGATAATTTAAAATGTAGCAGTATAGAAATATGAAAGGAAAATTTTTGGCGCTTTCACAACAGTAGTGGTAAACATTTTTTGGCTCAACTTTTGTTATTTACGCGCCAAAAACATGTGCAGCTCAACGATCGTAAGCACAAGTTATTATTTGCACAAAGGCCTTCGTCTATTCAACAAATTATATTGTAATATTTGGACCCGATCTCATCTTTTCTACCTAAGTTTACTTTATTAAAATTCTGTATGTTTAATCAAAATTTTATTTTTGTCATATTATTGATAATCAAAATTTTTTTTTCAGTTTCAGTAATAATTTTCAAAGAAAATGTCCAACAATCAAAATTCGTACATTATTGATTGGGTCAAATTGATGGAAGAAAGTGATGATGATTTAGAAGATCAAGATCAAAATTCATTGATTAGCGATTTCAGTTCAACATTGAAATGTTCAAACGAATTTGAACCCTGTGGATCTCAAACAGACGTTTCGAAATTGTTCTTATCCAAATCTGATATTTCAGTATCAGCCATTGAAATCAATAAATCAGACGAAAAAATGGAAGCTAAATATGAATTGGAATTTTCCAACCCTGAAGAAATCCAATATGATATCGATTCTGGCTTGGGCATTTCTTCTTCTGGTTTGGACGTATCATCTAGTGATTATATCAATGTAGCTATTGATGCTCAAGAACCTTTAGTTATTGACAACAACAGTATTGATGATGATATACATACTACACCAAGGTTAAAAAGACCATTGCGTGAACTTAATTTCTATCCAAGCAATCATTCTCGATCATATAGCCCGGCAAGTTCAACTTGTTCATCATTGGAACGTCCCAGAAAATCGACACGATTTAATCATAATAAATGTGTTGAATTCGAAACAGATCCTGATGTGATCAAAAGACGACAAAAACAAATTGATTATGGCAAGAATACTATTGGATATCAAAATTATATAAGTAAATTGCCGAAAAATCGTCGAAACAAAACTGACCTTTGTACACCGAATAAATTTGTCAAATACAGTCGTCGTTCATGGGATCAACAAATTAAATTATGGCGCCTACGCTTACATGAACATGATCCACCAGAAATGGGCAGCAAATCCGAACAACAGCAACCATCACACGATAATGTGAATGACGAAAATGTTAACAAAGTGAATCGAAAACTTGAATTTGATCAGGCTTCGATTGATATCGATGACCAAAACGAACCTCATTCAGCATCGACATTGGACGAAAATTCTGATTTAAACCTGGACATTTCGGACATTTTACAATTGTAATTTGAGACTTGAACTTCAAATTTTTATCATCATCGCCATTTACTCAGTATTCATTGTTTATCAGGATCGACTTTTCTTTCCTTTTGAAATCACATACAATTCATAAATTTAGGCTTCACATTTCATTAAACTGATTTAATATATCAAATAAAACTATTCTTATTTGGCAATGTATTCGTGTTTTTATTTATTTATTTAAATGTGGTTGTCACTTTTTCAAAAAAATGATAAAATGAAAACAATTGAAAAATAGCAATTAATAATAATAGAAATAAGTAAAAAAAAATGAAACACCTATGTTCAGCAAAAATTATCGACATCAAATGGACGACAGATGTTGACAGAATTAGGAATTCGATGTTATGGAGAAGCCAGAATAAAAAAGCTCTCATTTTATAAATTGTGCGATCATGTTTAGATTTTTCATTTCAATGATTGATTGAAAATAAATTGAACAAACAAAAATAAATGATTAATACAGGCAGATAAACATAATCTTTAAATTTAATGTAAAAGTGAATCTTAGATTCGATATAGAATCATCGAAATTGTGCTTTTTGTTGAATCGATCAAGACAATTCTTCTTCCTTATTTCGTTTAGATTACAGCGTCATCCGTATATTTATATTTATAGATTTGTACAACGTAGAAAAAATTATGAAATTGTTTTGTATACAATAGTAATAAATCAACGACTGAACAATTCGCGATATCATCATTTATTGCAACTTGATTATCAGATCTTCAGATTAATCAGCTTCTTGTTTTTGTACTGTTGAATCACGTCGACATATGGGACAAGTTCGATTAGTCTAGTAAGGACAAAAAAGATAAAATTATTCATAGCACAGATAAATCAAACAAACGGAATCGGATTCTTACCTTAAGCCATTTGTCGATACAACGGGCATGAAATTCGTGATGGCAAGGCAATACGCGAAGATTTTGTTTTGCCTCAAATTCACACATACATATGACACACAATGTTTGATCGGTTTCGACACTACTTTCCGGTTTATATCGATATGATGGTAATTGATCAATTTCACTTTTGTTTAGGCCACGCGGTTTAGCTTCACCCAAACGTTCGGCTAGCGATAGTAAAGCTTCATAATTTTCAGCTTCAGGCATATTATCATTAAATATTGAATTTTGCAATGCATTCGCAGGGAACAATGGTAAGTCAGACCATTCACCAAATCGGCGATCAAAACCTGGAATAGCAAATGGTGATAAAAATGCGAAATGCGGATAGTGAGGGTGGTGATGATGATGATGATGATGACCAGAAGTTCTGTTTATTGTCGGACGTCCCGACGATGAAGTGTTGTGTGGTGTAAAATTTGTTATTCTTGGAGCAGTTGGATAGTTTATTCCCTGTCTCGCTTGGTTAGCCGAACTTTGATGTTGTTGTTGTTGTTGATGATGATGATGATGATGATGGACACCGTTGTGGTTATGATTCTGGCTGGATACGTGTGGGGTCGATGTATGATGCATTGAGGATGGAGCATTTGAAACGATCGGGTTAAATCGATTATGAAATGACGAACTAGCTGCAGCTGTACTGGCAGCAGCAAGATTAGCGAATGGATTGAACATATTTGAGGAAACTTGAGCCGATGTCGAAGAAGCCTGCTGCTGTTGTTGTTGCAGTGATGAACGAATTTGTGAAGTAGATTGTTGTTGTTGGTGGTGGTGCTGCTGTTGTTGTGATGATTGGTTGTTAGAACCATTACAGCCATTTGAAGTATCGTTTTGACGTTGAATTCGTCGGACCTGTGATAACGACGGCGACGACGGTGGATAGTTCCCATGAGGTAATATAAACACGTTTGGTGGCGATATTTGGTCCATGTTTTGCGTCAAACCAAAATTATCTATTTGTGACAAAGTTGTGACATTAGGTAACACTGAAGCTGTTGGTGGTAATGAATGAATAGAACTGGCTGGCTGACCGTTGGTTGATGCCGTACCTGGTCGATGTTGTTGCAGGGGCGCTGTTGTTGTCGTCTGAGATGATTGAGGCAGTAACAATGATAATATCGGATTAATTATAGGATCATAATGCGGTGGTAGGGTTCCGACTTGATTGTTGTATAGACGAAGAACCGGGAGTCCGCTTGCAGATGATGCCGTTGTTCCTGTAATCGCTGATCGTTGCCATTCAGGTCGTTGAAATTGTGATTGTGATTGAGCCTGGCTATTGGGCGTTCCATTTTGAGGAATGTTAATGCCACTATTGCTTCGATCAGATGTCGTTCGAGGCAAACGAGAATTCATATAGTTGATATGATGTGATTGATGTTGTTGTTGATGCGATGAAGATATCGGATAATTATTCGTATTACGCTCTTGATGACGAATCTGAGAAGAGTGGGTTGCAGAATTAGACTGATGCACTTGACCAGTATTTGTTGGTTGTGATCTGGCATTTGGACATTGTTGTGTTGGTTGTTGTGGTGTGTTGGATGTTGGACCCATTGATTGCTGCTGAGATTGTCGAATAAATCGAGGATCATGCATCAGCAAATGGTAAAGCCAGTTAATCGATTGTGGATCATCTGAATATCGATTATTGAAATCAATCCTAGGATCAGAAACGACATTTCTTGTGGAGTTAGAATTCGTCGCAAGGGCTGCTGATGTCAACATATGCGGATAAGCTCCAGTACCATTGGGAAAATACTCATTGATCAATTCAAACAATCGAGGATCGGAATAATGAAAGCTTGGTGAGGATTGGTCAAACAATAGAAATGCAGCTGGAAATCGAGAATAAGTACCAGTTTCGTTCGATTCCATGGATGTTTGTTGAGGAATGGGGAGTGGAGGTTGTGCTGATGGCATTTGGTGATTCGACATTCTCTGATATCGACGCGATGGTCGATTAGATGATGACCGATTAGCTTGACGATGCATGTCAGATGCAGTAACATTCGCTGATGGCAATTGCATTTGACCATGTAAATTTTGATAATTTGTTGCCGAGTGTTGAGTATTACTATCATTATTGTACCGATTCAAGTTGGGTAACTAGAATTTAAAAATTAAAAATAATAAATTCATTAATCAATTTAACTACTAAATATTGATATACAATCAATTACCGTTCGAAGATTATTCAAACGCTGGAAATAAGGACATCCAGGAATGTATATGTGCAGTAGATGCACTCGTAGTGTTGGCAGTCATATTGTTAACATTCGGTTCTTGATTTGTTCTATTAATTGATTGCCGTTCTACCTGATGATGTTGTTGATGGTAATGATGATCTGTTTGTTGAGATCTTTCAACAGTATCATTCGCATTAAGATTAGTAGATGCCACCGGTGGTGAATGATTAGAAGAATATGAGGATCCATTACTTTGCTGAAACATAGAAGGTAGAATAGCATTGCTAATGGAATTATTACTTCGAGGACTGGAAGATAATGTGGACCGATCACGCTCTACAGATAATGCTGTTGCTGAATCTCGATTAGAATTATGAAAATGCGAATTTATGAATAAAGCCGATTCATTAATCGCTGCTGGTATACTTCCATTACTGCTACTGCTGGATGAAGATTGAGGTGATGATGATGATCGTGGCACTGATTGGGCAACATCCATTGATTGAATCGAAGATGCAGAAGATGAATACAGGGCCATAGATGCTTCTGAGGTAGAGTCGATTGTGGCAGCTGTTGAATCCAATGATTGTGCATCAGACAATGTACTGCCATTTTCTTCACGCGCTTCTTCATTATCCAAATCAGTTGATGTTTGTGCGTGGTTTGAACGTGCACGGTATTTGATGACATCCTCTTCATCGTCACCTTCGTCACCATTTCGTTCATCATCATCATCACCATTGTCATTAGGATCTTGGCCATTCCCATCATTATTTGGATCGTTCATCAATGTAGAAATGGTTAATTGCTGTTGCCCGTTAAGAAAATTATTATTATTATCATGATTGGCTGATTGAATTGAAGGCGATAACTGTGTATTTATAATGGATTCATGGCCAGAATTTGCGTTAGTTGCTACGTTTTCATCTTCCTGAGATGATGTTGAGGTGATCACAGTACGTCGATTCCATGATGACGATGATGATGCTGATGAGGAAAATGATGAGGTATGATTTTGTGATACATCGAGTTCAGTGTGGTCAGAAAAAACGGCAAGAGGTTCATTCGTTTCAATGAGATCATCCATTGACGATGCTTCGGCTGCTGCTGCCTCTAATGTTTGTTGAAGGACGGTATTGTAATGATGATTATAATTATCGTTATTTGGAGATCGTCCGTCTTGGACAAATTCTCTATTCGAATCAACAGCTACTATTGGCGTCTGATCTGTGTTTTGACTACTCGCATGAGGAGGAGGAGGGGGTGGTGGTGGTGGCGAAACCAATGCAACCCATGATCCTAATCGACCTGTACCATCACTACCACTGTTAGCTGAAACATTATTCTCTTCAGCTAAAGAATCTTGAGAAGGCAGTGGCGGTGACGAAGATTCGACGACTAAATTGCGAAAATGATTTAAGGCAATTGATGTCCCGGGAAAATCCGTACGTCGACGTTTTCTTGAAGGACTTTCACTCTGTTTGGAATAAACAATTATATGTGATATGTGAAAATATATTAACAATAATATCAAGTTACGGTTTTTGGTAATGATAATTTAGTCGATCATTTCCTTTAGGCATACGTCGTTTTTTTAAACATTTGCATTTGGAAAGATTATTCTTTTTCGGAGGAAAAAATTATGGGTATCTCATTTACACAAACACACACACACACTCTCTCTCTCTCTCTTGAGCTAGCCAACACAATCATCTGGTATTGGAATGAATTGTAAAGAAAAATTGCAAACCAACAAAGCATTTATTAACGGAATGATAATTTAGCCGACCAACCAACCAACAAACTAAATGTACAGATACAATATTACAATGAATGATATATGGACTACAATTAATGAATGAAAAAAAAAACAGGTGACACCAATACTCAATCAAGCAGACAAGACAGGTGACAGCTTCAACCGGGATTAGTGAGAGTTTTGGGTCACAAAGCCATTCAACGTTATGGTACCGAAAGAAAAGACAACATGATTAATCCAAAATGAGCAAGAAAAATTTCTTACACTTTCTTAAACAAAACAAGTGAAAAATTATTTCCCAATTGTAAATTTTTTTCGAATAGAAGAATAAGAAAAGCCATCATATATATTCGAGGGATAGAAAAAATGTGATTGTGGGTTGAAATAGCCAAAATGAAAATAGCCAAATAAAATATATTGAAAATAATAAAAATATTTGGCTATTTTCTGCCTTGGCTATTTTCAGTTTGGCTATTTCATATCGCAACCAAAAATAAATGTGCACGAACAAAATCCATAGATTCTTTAAATGTGCGAACTCAATAAACTTCCTATCAATATGAATAATATTATGTATTTGTGATGTTGTTTAGTTAATGATTTGGAACAATTGCTAGAAATTTCAATTTCATGGATCGAATTCCAATCACTATCAACACGTATGCGCGTATGTTCAAAACTTTCCTGGATCGGAGGATAATATAGATGCAAAAAAAAGCTAAAAATCTATTTCTAGCTTATCCTCTAGTTTCAAGATAGTGAGATGAAAATGTTTTTTATCTCCAATCCTAAATGGCGTTTGATGAGAACATTCAAACTTTTAATTCAATCTTTTGGCCAGGCCGCAAGCTGAAACAAAACTCGAATGTATTTCTAGATTGAAAAATGAAAATTATTTAGCATTTTAAAGATAGGCCTGATCTGATAGAAAATGTTAAACTTATACATGAGGGATAGGTCGGAAACTAAAATAGTATGCCAGATCATCACGGTCATATATATTAGGTTATTAGAAAAGTACTGTCGTTTTTGTGTATAACATTTTTGAACGACTGTCACAAAAAATTGGTAAAGGTTATGACACTGTGTATGACCTCAATTTATTCTTTGATGACCATACTTTAATTCAAAAGTAAATTTTTTCCAACTTTGACCACAGGAAGTGGTGGCCAACCTCGGTATTTTGAGGCAATTTTTGAGTAAATTTTAGGCATTTTGTTTTTTGCCCGTTGTGACCCCGACGAAAGAGGAAATGGTCATCTGACCACTCAATGGAAATTCCACATGTCCTAGGAGTTAAAAAAAATTATGAGCGTAATTTTTCCGCAACTCATTTTTTCTAGAGGGCCGGTCAAAATCCGGTCGGCCGCTATCAGCCACTGTGTTATTCTGCCATAGGAAAAATATGCTTCAAAATGAAATTTTTTAAAAATTTTGATCAATTATTGCACAAAACGATTTTGGCTAACCAAAAAATCAACAAAAAATTTTGGTTGACGAAAAATTTCAAATTCTTGAAAATTTTGAAAATCGCATAACCGACCATGCAATGCATGTGCCGTCAGCCACTCTGCAAATGGCATACATGTTTCTGTTGGCGATTTCATAAACTGCATACATTATGAACTTTTTAAAAACATTAAATTCATTCCCATTACATTATGACGCATAAACCGGAAAAGGAAATCAAAAATTCGGGTTAATTTCAAAAACCACGTAGTGCAATGTTTATCGCAATTCTCAACAGTCTCGTATCGAGTATAATGCATATCGGCATTGTAACGGTAATCAAATTATTCAATTTCAATGAATTTCACACAGTATTGGAACTCACAGTGTTTTCGTAAGCTTCGTTGGTTTCAACAGCAACTCTAGTTGCACTGATGCCCATTTTGTACCAATAGAGCATCAGGTGACGAATGTGATATCACTTGGCCAATTTTGGCAAATTTCTCTTTTTTTGTATTCATTATTTTTTTTTTTTTGCTTATTTTCTTGTTTTTTTTTCTTTCATTAATTTTTTTTTCAATTTTTCAGTGATCATTATGTTTTTCAAAATTTTCGGATATTTTCGGTAATTTGTTTGGAATTGAACGAATATTCAAATAATGATCGTCGACTTATTGTCTCGTGAATTTATGAATTCTTCTTGTTTTGATACCATGAATGTCGATTTGCAACAGATTCAACATTGATTGAGTGATTGCCAATGATATTGCCCATTAACAAAATCAATGGGCAATGCCATTGGCAGAGTGGCTGACGGCACATGCATTGCATGGTCGGTTATGCGATTTTCAAAATTTTCAAGAATTTGGAATTTTTCGTCAACCAAAATTTTTTGTTGATTTTTTGGTTAGCCAAAATCGTTTTGTGCAATAATTGATCAAAATTTTTAAAAAATTTCATTTTGAAGCATATTTTTCCTATGGCAGAATAACACAGTGGCTGATAGCGGCCGACCGGATTTTGACCGGCCCTCTAGAAAAAATGAGTTGCGGAAAAATTACGCTCATAATTTTTTTTAACTCCTAGGACATGTGGAATTTCCATTGAGTGGTCAGATGACCATTTCCTCTTTCGTCGGGGTCACAACGGGCAAAAAACAAAATGCCTAAAATTTACTCAAAAATTGCCTCAAAATACCGAGGTTGGCCACCACTTCCTGTGGTCAAAGTTGGGAAAAATTTACTTTTGAATTAAAGTATGGTCATCAAAGAATAAATTGAGGTCATACACAGTGTCATAACCTTTACCAATTTTTTGTGACAGTCGTTCAAAAATGTTATACACAAAAACGACAGTACTTTTCTAATAACCTAATATATATAAATTGAGAATTTTTTTTCATACTAAAAAACCATGTTGAATTGAGTGAAGATGAACATTCCTAAAAAAGAAATCAAACTAAAATTGCGACAAGTTTATTTATATTTTTTTTCTCGCTTGACAATTTTATAAATATACTTATGAAATTGTTTGGATGTAGGAAAAGTAAAAATTGTCAAATTATTTGCTATGTTGTTATTAAAGACTTTGGTTTCAAAAATGACTCCAAAAAATCCAGTTTAAAAAGATTTAACGCACACATACAAATTCGACCGAATTAGGAAGTAATTGGAAATTTATAGGGCGTAGGTCGAAGTAAATGCGTTAAAATGGTAACAGATTTCTAATGAAAAGGGCAATTATCATCCATTGATATGTGTGTGTGTGTGCCAAAGAAAAATCTATGCTAATCATAAGCTTGGTTGAATGAATTCCAATGGTCATAATGATTGTCATCATCATCATTGCTTTAGTACACAAAAATATTGGCCAAAATACACAAATTCAAATATGCAAGCATTATGGTTGTTTTGTTGCAACCATCTACCAACCAAGGGTTGATGTCATCGGAAATGACCACACCAAAAATAATTTTTTGTATTTGATCAAAAAGCGTGAATTTTTCCCGAGCAACAATATTATAAAAAGTGTGGAAGAGCATACCTTTCGAGAAAGAATATCAACCTCTGGAGCATCACATGGATTAATACGATAATGTCTGGTTCGATGAAAATGATGATGACCATTATTCGTTCCAATGTTCGGCTGTTGTGTTTGATCAACATCTTCGACGACATTCATCGCTGACGTTGTAACTGATGGTTGTTGCTGTGGACTTGTTAATGACGATATTTGAGATGATCTCGTTGATCCATTGGATTGATGATGTGTTGTATGAGGATGATGATGATTGTTGTGATGTCTTCGATAATGGTGCCCGGATGAACGAATCGGGTGATGACTTTGGCTACTACCATCACCATTTTCAGTATTCGTAAATACGGATGAGGAATCAAATTGAGCGGCGGCAACAGCTGCTGCTGTTAGATAAGCATTGGCTAATTGTGATGGTCTTTCATTAGGATCGGAATTAGAAATGGATGATGACAGATCAGCTGACGAAGTTGTTGCAGCAAATGTACGTGAATGTTGTTGATGAGCAATCGATGTTGGCGATGGTGGTGAAACAATACCAGAAGGGGCGGTAGTACCAGCATTGGAACCATCATGTAATAAAGGAACACAGATTGCCAATCCAGAACAATCAACAGATCCAATAGTGGTATTGTGGCGATGTACATGCCCCGGATGATGATGAGCCGGATATGTGGATAAATGTGCGGGTGGTGGCTGTGTTGATGATGGCCCAACTGAATCACAACGGATACCGAGAGTGGACATGGTACCAGCAGCTACACCATTAGTTGAGGATTGATGTCGTTGATGATGATGATGATGATGTGGGTGTGATGATTGCTGTTGTGGTTGTGGACTATTCAATAATGAATGCTGTGGCTGTTGTACATATTGGGAGTGGTGATGATTTAGATGATGATTATGATGATGTGGATGAAGATGATGATGATGTCTTACCAAAGGATGATGATGATGAGGATGGCCACTGCTAGGAAGCGCCGTAGTTGAAGCCGTTTGTTGTAGTACCATTACTGGTTGACTTGTAAATGGGTTGTTGGTTCTGAAACAATTTTCAATGAATTTTACACGTTCTCATAAAGAGAAATGCTGTAATTTAGTTAGATATCTATAATCATTTGTGATGAGTAAGAATTGATAATTGTGGATCGATCCTAACTATAGGATGATTAGACAATTTTTTCTTCTTTATTTATGAATTGTACAAGTGACACGAAGATTTTCCAAGAAACAAGGTTTTGTCACAACGAAGGTAATAATAATGATGATGAAAAAATCGTCGTCGTATTCGTTGGTAATAATGATCGATTCATCTGTCAGCCATATATTTTTTCAGGTGTGTTAGTGAATCAACGATCCTGTATAAAAATGATCAGTGGGTGAGAAAAATGAATGAAAATGAAAAAAAAGAAACAACAAGATTAGTGGTATGCATTATACGATTTTTTTTTGTAAAATAGCTGAATGCAATGAACTGGCAATGAAAATGATTTTCGAATCATCGTCAGAATGAAACAACATCCACTTTCATGTCCACCAAATGGATCAACGGCGCGTGCAATTTCAATGCAATGGATTTTCAACTAATGTTTTTAGATTGGAATTGAAAACCCTATAGCCTGAAAACAATTCACGTTTATATTGCGTGCGTGTTCTGTCAAAAAGGATAATGGTTTGTCATTTCGATAATGATGATAATGCTAAATGGCATGGAAGAACATCATTATTACTCCTCTATAATCCTATCTCGTGGCTCATTCGAATTGTTGTTGATGATATTTCATGTGTATGAGTCTATTTTTTCGTCTGATTTTGATTCAAAGCTGCTATAATCATTACCGATCAATCATTAGAAAGACAAAGACCTCGACAAATGTACAAGGTCAAAGGTGATGATGATGATGATGATACGCCATACAAGGAAACACATTTCGACATTGCAACTCAATCGAGTAGAGAGAAAAAACTGCAACAATCGAAAGCGAATAAAAACGGATGGGCAATGTTTGTATAAAAGGATCATCAAGTGGTTGGAAAAAGATTCAACACAATCATCAGAAACACAAAAAACAGGGACAACAAGTGAGAGTCCAAAGTGGGCGCGATATCCATTCAACTGCTAGCCAGATTCAAACATATAGGAAATTCATTCACGATGACTAGACTCCTTGTTTCATGAAAAAAATGTGTGTGTGTATCTGCATGTGTCGGCAGTTTACAATGGTTGCTTATAGAGAGAAAGATTTTTTTTTTTTTTTTTTGAAAAAATTGCAGAAATCAACTATACAGCAATTCATCAGTCAGTTATCTTGCAACATCCATTATGCTCGTATGTATTATGGATATAAAACAAAAATGAGGTCAACCGGCCAAGTACAAAAAGACCGAAAAATAGGGAAAAATATTTAACACGAGTAAAAATATAGAGACACGTGTTCAATATAATATACAAAATAATAATTTTGAATGAAACGAATGATCATGATCGTGTGGTTGATGATGATGGCCAAGAAAAAAATCATGATAAAAAAAAACGGAATGTAAAGCAAAAAAACTTTTGAGCCATATAAATTAGCTATATATCCACATTCAAATGTGTTGAAAATGTTATGTGTGACATAATTCCATTTGTGGATAAGAAAAGTTTCGGTAAATCAACACACATTGATGGAATAAGCACCCACATTGGTTGTCAAATGAATAATTAGCCCATATTTCCAAATTTGGAGAATGGCAAAGAATCCTTGTTCTAATATTTGAAATACAACAAGCTATATGTACCTTGAATGCATTTTTTGTATCAAGGTTAACTGAGTGTATTTGACAATTAATGATTGGTCTCTCAAGGTTCGATCTTGCCGGTACCAGCAACCATGATCAAAGCCAATAAACTGTCAAAACATTATATAAAATACCAGCCCGGTACAGGCGCTTCGCGCCTGCCCCAGGCTGGCCCTGCGGGGCTGACTCCTGACAGTCAATATAGCTGGATACCCGCAGGTGTGGCGGCTGCGCCGCCCCCCCTGCTTGGTACCCAGCCAAAGGTATCAATCCTTGACGGTCAATATAACTGGATGCCCGCAGGTGGGGACGGCTGCGCCGCCCCCCTGCTTGGCATCCAGCCAAAGGTGTCAATTTTAACGCTTCGTGCCTGACGGTGGATTTCTATGCACGGCGTTTTGCTTCCGGCTTTCGGTTTGGTACCGCAGGCTCAGCCATGACTTTTGTATTGTACCTGACACCTTTGAAAATGTTACGTAAATCCAACATCAACTTATCGATCAAACAGCATACTTATTATTGTTCATCGATATCGATAAGTTGGCGGAATACGATTGGTGTAGATGCTGCGATCGTTGTTGACCTTCAGCAAAATAGGTCAACAACGATCGCAGCATCTACACCAAAAATATTTGACGAAAATCTCCCCCAAAGATGATTAATTTACCACCAAAAACTTCTTGCGACTGCATGAGATCTTTGAGCAATAAGTCAATTATGTTAATCACATGAATCGACATCACTATAACAATACAATACTCACTTTTCAATACTTATAATAATACAAACATACTCATCAAATACTCATATACATTCACACAAAATGAAAATCACGTGGTCGCTATCAAAATTCGAATTCGACGATTCGAACTCTTTCTATGTTCTATTGAATGACTGCACCATCTATGGGATGCAAAATCTGCAGCAAAGTGTGCGGAGCTAGAACAATGAAAAAATGCTTTGTCAAAGCTACATACCACAGAATGCGTTTCTTTGGAAGCGACTTCTACTTCTGAGCTGGACGAACTGTTCAGAGGCATTCAAAAGTTTTCCCGCATGCTCAGACACACACACACACAACACACACTGAGTAGCTCATACCAAATAGTTATGTTTGTACTGAAAATAAGTAGGAATGGCCGGCTCAGCTTCGCCGCAGTTTACAGACATCCTTAGCGTCATAGAATAGTAGATATTTGACAAAAAATAATCAATAGTACAATCATTAAGAGAAAAGTAAGATTATCAATTTGAAATTGTATTTTTAAAAAAACCAAATCAACGATTAGAACAAGAAATTATCTATCATTTCGTACTATATAAAAAATTTTTCAACTTGTTGCAACCGAAAATCAATATCGCATTTGAAACTTGAGTTAGTAAAATAAAAATTCACCGAGAATTCATTCAATCCTTCATCATTATGCTTGCTTGTCAATACAGCAAGTAATGAATCAAGTTTTTTGGCTTTGAATAGAAAAGTACTTCCGAAGGTCGACTATGGTTAAAATATATATTTGCTTGAATGGATTTTATTTTCATTCTTCAATTTATATCTTGTTGTTGGCAATATTCATACTATTCAGAAGCGGTACAAGTTTTCTTTACGACATGCTGACCCTAACACACATACATACAAGCACAAAAAAACACACACACAGAGAAGAGAGAGCATGGTCATAAAATGAAAAAAAAATGTCAAATAACCGAGATATGTTGTATAGAAAGAAATGAAGGAAAAAAAAGAACCAAAGAAACAGGACATGCACAAACACATACAGATTGCATTGTGTAATCATCATCATCATTTCATGATCAAAGCAGCAAGCAACAGCGGCCATTCAGCCAACAAACAACGAGGAAGAAATCTCAATTGACAATCTCTAGCAAAAATTAAAAAAAAAATGAATGCCTTAACGAGTACCAGTTCTTGTTGCCATTGCTTGGTTGTTGATGTAGATTTTTAATTACATACATCCGACAATTGCTCGGACATGGAAACTCTTAAAACAACAACAACAACACATCCGGGACGACAATAATAAAGCCATTGACGAGAGATTGATAAGAACCATATTTACTGAAGCATCGATTATTATAAAAAAAGATGTGATTTAATGATTCAAACATTTTTTATAGTTACATTGCTAGTCAAAATAAATTCTAATATATATATATATAGAGAGAACATCATTCCAACACAAATTCTTATTTTTAAAGAATATGTGATATGGTCAGAAGCGTTCTAACAAAACAATGACAAGGTCATCATTGTGACAACATGTCATACATTTTACTATTCGATTTGTCAAAAAAAAAATTTTTTTTTCCACAATACTGGGATGAATTATTTCCTCAATATATCAACCAAACAATTCATTTTATTTATATGGCACACATTAGCAATCATCATCATCATCAAATTCAATAAGGCCATGACCACTATCTGCTGTTAATACATACCAATAATAGGAAAATTCATTTGAAATGGCTATAAAGATATTATAAAAATGAAATAAACAACGTTCCGTAAAACCTACGTATATACAACATATAGACATGGCGCCCATTCATAGTTTAAATCAAAAAATGAAAAAAACGAAGTGAAATCAGCAATCATTCTTTGCAATGATTAAAGGGAATGAAAAACAAAATTACTGTCTGAATATAAAGCTGGTTGTATTCGGTCGAATCCAAATAATAACAACAAACAATCAACGAGCCATTTTTGAATGGAGAAAAAAAAATCAAGGTGAATCACTTTCACAATTATTCTCTTCATTTTCATTCCATTCATTTCTGGCTGGCTGATTGACTGTCATGGCTTATTGCCATACTCTTTCTCTCTCTCTCTCTTTCTTTTTCTTGTTCCCTATCTCGTTCAATCGAATTGTGGTGGTGGAACAAACAATAAAAAGAGCCAGGTAAAACGAAATTTCTGCCAATCTTCTACTCATTACGAAAATTTTTTTACAATTCATACAGGTTGGACACACCAATCTTTTCAAAGCCAACAAAAATGGCCAAATTGGAAAAAAAAGAAAATTCGGAAAAACCTGTTCATACAACAGAATGATGGGTATTATTTTAGATGCTTGGTGGGTACATTTTGGGCTATTTTTCATTTTATATAATAAAATACCGAAGAGTGTTTAAAATTTTGAACAATTCACAAAGACACTCACAAGTTTTGATTGATCACACACACACACACACACACACCAAATGAATAGCAAATACAGGTAAGAACCAAGCCAGCTCTATCCAGTCAGGCAGGGGGGCAGTCAGTCACTAGTGCGTGTGTGGATATGGAATTCATCATTGTTGCCTGTAAACGTAATTGCAATCCAGTCAACGTAATAATATAAAACAGAGCATTGAATTGATGATGGTCAAAAGCCAATTGTCTTCAGCAAAACATCATCATCAAGATTCTACGTGGCAAGACAATCCTGTATTTTCGCTTTCTTTCGAGAGTTGAAAATTTTTTTTAAAAAATCAAAGGACCTGTGTTATTAGATTGTATTGTCTTTTTTTTTTCATTTGGTGGCCAAGGATAATATTTATACCTACTTACTCACTATATCAGCCATATTGAGACTAATAACTTTGAACAATGAACAAATATATTATAGCAGGTGGCAAAAAAATTATTTCCTTTTGATTTTATACTTATTCTTTCTACTTTCAAAACTACTGTTGAAAGAGAGTAGTCGAAAAAATTCACAAGAATTACAGATGAAAAGTTTTGTCATATTATAAACCATAATGAAGAAATGTGACCAATCATCATCATCATCATTATCATCCACTTGTATCAAAAAATCTATATCATCAAATCGATGGAAAAAACTATATATTGCCATCATCATCATCATCATCAAGGATGAAAACCGCTTTTTAGTCCATCAATGACGACGGAAAAAATCGAAAATTTCAGGCCATTTCAAACAACACTATGTGGATTTCTAAAAAAAAAATTTCTTTCTGAAATTTCCATGAATGGAATAAGGTTCGAAAAAATTGTATAGATCCTAGTACCAGGCGATTTCATTTAATTTTTCTTTCGTATCGATAATTCAAGTGGATATTTTGTTCTTTTCCTCTCGTAAAACATTTCATAACTATAAATTAACATTTGTATCATTATTCTTCCACAAAAAGATTGAAGAAAATTGATGAAGAATTATATTGATTTCTGCTAGGCAATAATATACGTTTCTGACACGCCATCAAAAGATTGATGCATTTTTCTAATTCTCAGATGTGCTGTCAGGCAATCAAATCACTTAGGTCGTAGCTATCGTCGTCAGGTGTGAGCCAAAAAAAAAAAATCAGATTGGTCAGAGGTTGGACCCAACTAAAGTAATTTCAATAGGCACACAAACACCGGAGGGAGTATGTCTACTATGTTATTCATTGGAAGATTCAATATAATTTTCAAATCTATTGGGTCTTTTCTTCACAGGTTCAGGTCAATCGATTACAATTGGTCATCATCAAGAAACTGTTCAGGGCTATATTTTTTTTTGCTTGGCAAAATGAAAATAAATAAATAAAAAATCTTAGTAAACAGGCCGCGTAGGAGAGACGAAGACAAAAAGGTCAGAAAAAAATATGGCCAAAACGGCTATAGATAATCACAAATTTTCGGGACAGCCAATTCAAAATCATCAAACGACCAAAGCTATTATATCCAAATAGTCGGTCCGTCGATCTAAGTCTTCACCGTCGTCGTCGAGAAGAAAGCCTAAGGGGTCGATCATCCAAAACAACGTTTGATGGAAATTGTTTTGCTTATTATAGTGGGGATCAAGTCGAAAAAGTACAAGTTTTTCAAAAAATTATTATGGCGAAAAATTACAATGGCCTGTCTCTGTTTCATATCATCTCATCTAATCTGATCGGCCAATGAATTAACATTTGGATTTAAAAATCTGAAACAAAAACGATAAAGCATAAGCCAGTGCATAGAAGAATTCGATTCTTTTTTTTAGTATATATTTGAGCAATGTTGAATTTCATTCTTGATGAGAAAAACAAATTCATCAATGATTATCGAAAAATTCATATCAGGATATTTTTTCCAGAAAAAAATCAATTTTTCGATTATATATTCTATATAGGATAGAAAAAGATTTTTTCCATTAAACTTTACTAAATTTTTAAACAATTTTTTTTTGATAAAAAGTAAACTGAGAAACCAGAAAAAAATTAAAAAGAACTTATAAAGCTGAATGAATAAAAAAATCACAAAACCCATGGACAAGTATGACGATGATGAAGACCAATGGTAAACATAGAGTTAAATATATTTACAGCTTATAATCCAACAGGAGAGAAAATGTAAATATTTGTATAATGCACACACACACACACACACAGAGGCACGAACCATCGGAAAAAATGCATGAAACGCCAGGCTTAAGATTCAAGCAACTGACTATAGTTTGAGTGACTAAAAAGAAAAAAAGGTTGATATCTCATATCATAATGCCAGACATTTATATTCTACATAGGATTTCATTTTAAAAGGATAGCCAGAAATGAAAAAAAAATCCTATGGACCATTGGTTCTTATGACTGAACTTGGACCAATCGGTGTGAATTTTTTTAAATTCCAAAATTTTTCTTTCATTCAATTTTCATTCGACGTTCCAATGGAAATGCATAAATACATAGATGAAGATTGATAGATAAAACTGTCATTTAATGAAAAGCACGAGAAGAAAATATATTTCATTATTATTATTATTGAAAGAATTATTGAAACACGCAGACAAAAGGTCAGGTTTTTTCTTTCTTTCTTTCGTTTGTTTGAATTTACTTATGTATGTGATTTTTTGCCATTATAAAAGTTTGAATTTAAAACGAAGGGTCGAATGTAGATCGTCATATATTCGAAATACAATTCGAAATAGTAGTACTCCCCACTTGATATATATATTTTCTGAATATATATACGGGTTCTTCATTGTGGTATTCAAACGAGTTTGAAAAAAACTCGGGTCACCAAAAAAAAAAAAAAATATGGTCGTCTTGAAGGTTGAAAACACATACACAGAGAAAAAGAGAGATAGAAACTAAAATCAATTCACTTTCCATCATCCAACGCATAAATGCAAAAAAAACAACAAAAGGTTTGCTATTAAACTTACCAAAAAGATACGCATTTATTTGGACAATGGAAATATAATATTTTTTCTTTTTGGTTGATCCAGAGACAAGTGTCAAATAACTTTGCCTGTCGTCGTCGAGGTTACAGATTAGCGTGTCAGTCGTTTCTTTTATTTTTTTTTTGTTTATATGAATGTTAAAAGTTGACTAAAAATTCGAGAAATTCAAATGACGTATCGTGAATCACTTTCAAAATACGATGATGTTGATTCGACATATAAACAAGAGAAACATCAGCAACAAAGATTGTTGTAAGCAAAAAAAAAAAAATACCCAAAAAAATTTTAAAACATGAGATGAAAAATACTATACAAGCACACTGTATAAGATGATGAAAACGAATAATAATGATGATGATCAAGATGAGATCAATTGGCGTCCCATATAGCCTATTGCATCCAATAATAATAATAATGATGATGATGATGATGACTATGATGGAAACACATTGCCGTCACAAAGAGAAATAAAATAAAAACTAAACTATGGTGACAAACATCAATCGTTGTTGTGCTTTTTTTGATGACAGATTTATCCAGATGGCATTCAATACATTAATGGAGAATGATGACAGAGGGAGTTATCATCAAAATTTAGGGTAGGTCATTATTTGAGGGCGTTTTCACAGGAATTGTCGTTTTGGAACATTGATTGGAAAACCAAAGGTTAAAGACGTCAAAAAAATGGTATGACGAACAATGAGAATATCGGTTTTGTAATAAAAATGGATAAAAAATATTAGATTAGAATAAAATGTCAAAACAAGGGCGAGTAATATTTTTCGTTTTGAACCAGAAAAAAGAAGCTTCCTAGAAACATTTCAAATTTTCATATAAATAAAGGAAATGATCAAGATTCACCTCCTTTAATTCTATCCTATTTTTTGACACTTGTTGACAATCACGCGTAAAAAAAACACTAATCACGATCATTCATCAGAATACTTAAAAGGGCGAACCAGAAATAAAAAAAAAATTTTATTTGAATAATGAAAAACTGATTGTTATTCGGTAAATAAAATAAAAAAATATATAACACACAATAACAACGGAACACATGATAGATATAGAAAGCTTTCTCTATGACATATACCACACCAAAACAAAGATGATGATGATGATGATGTTGCTGAATGATGACAATCAAAGCTAATGCCAATAAGAACCTAACCTAAAATACATAAAGTTATACGCACGATATATATATTTATTATGCGATAAGTAATCATAGACGAGTGTAGTGAGGATAAATAGTCGATTGACAAACATACAAACAAATTTATATATATGATGATGAGAAATCGTAAATATTTTCATCAGAACATGACCGACAGAAAAAAAAACTGAACATAAGCTAATATTGAATTCAAAATCCTGAAGAATGGACAACGTTAGAAGGAAAAAATTAAAACAAAGTCCAACAAGTGTCGCCAAAAACCATGGATTATTTTTTTTTTTTTTTTTTGTTGGGGCCATATATACATACAATACATAAATGCATACATTCAACTACGACTACAATGATTGACTTTATCTATTCGCCATATATATAAAAAAAATAATATAAACCATCAATGATGAGAAAAATAGAAAGAACGAGCAGCCATGATATTTTGTCCAATAATATGAGTCGTAGTCGTTGTCCTTGTAGCTGAGATATCATTCATCTAAACCATATGGACACACAATATATTTGGTAAAGACAAAAGAACCGATTTATGACCATTATACGATAGTCATATACCAAAAAAAAACCGATTCGATTTTCAGTATTATAATATATCAGTATTTGTTTCTGTCGGCACATCAGGTTTTTTCGGTACAAGTACTCATTCAGTCATCTTTCAGTTTGTTTTTTTGTTGTTGTTGTTTTCTTGGCACAAAGAATAGTAAATTACCAAAAAAAACTGACCTATTCATTTAAAATTGGCCAAATTCAAAAACAGCGGCATGAAAAAAAACGACATAAGAAATGAATGGAAAAAAATCTAACCAGATGTGTGTGTGTGTATGTTTATAATTCAACGAAGCTTTTCATAAAAATTCCAATAGGACTTTAACACGATTCAAACTAAATTGTATTTATTGTATGTGCTGAAAATTTTATATGATAAAAAATTGCTGTATTTTGCCAAAAAAAGTTTAATCATTGGCCCTTTGAATAACGAAAATGTGACAGTCAATCAATCCATAGTCAGTCAATCCATCTATATTCACAACCAATCTTATATTGGCAATCAACAATAATCATTTGATGATGATAATAATGCAATAGCACAAAAAAGGCTCAAATCTCGAGAAAATTTTTCAAAAAAAAAGTCTAAAGTCAAAAACTTTATGACGATGACAACAACTTGATAGAAGACTTATAAGATGCCATAATCCGAATGGATATGCCAATACAAGGGAATAAATCTTGGCAACAACACAGGATATATGGAACGAAACATCCGTTTGTTTCAAACTAGAATATATTATTTTGTAAAGGGTTAACTTTTTTCTCGAGAAATCGATTAATTCGATGAAGAAATACAATTCCCAGACAAATATAATATAAAATATTTTCAAAAATTAACTCATTCATTCTTTCTGACTATGGTGGTCGCAAAAGCGTTAAGGAATCAAGATAAAATTATCGATTTCAAATGTAGCAAAAATCAAATGTATCGGCATGAATTTTAGATATATTTTAATCAAAGTTTGGATTTTTCAAAATAAAAAAAAAAATAAATTAACCACTCTATCTGTGGTCAACGAAGAATCATAAAAAACAAAATCAACAAATATCAAACAAAGAACTATCTGGTCGTGGTTATGGTTCAATCTTTTTGTGCACAAAAATGATCATCGTTTTTTGAAGTTTTCCTATTATAATAATAACAGAAGATCGAAATGATTCGTTGCCTTTGTATCATGTCTTAGTCATCGTCTCTGAATTGCGAAAATATTTTGGTAGATCGAATTGTTTTTTTGTCATGACAAGCTTTAGCTCGTCAAATTTAATATGATTATATATGAGATATTTCACACAAAGAATAACATATACACACACACACACACAAATAATCCTCAGTTTATAATGGGCGACAAAAGCGTCATCATTTTTGTTTGTATATGTGTATGTATGTTGTACTTAGCATGACATTCTTTTTGGCATCGGTCGTCAGCATCATCATCATAAGCAACACCATCATCGGTTGTCGCCTTTTTTTTTTACTTTGCCTTTTACCAAATTACCAATTTTTCTGTCTTCACAATATCCAGAAAAGAAGAATATTTACCACAAACTTTATATTTATAATCATAATCATAATAATATATATAAAATCAAAACCAAGTATTCGATTGAATACACATAAAAACTATAGCTAAATGAAAACCAAACCAAACTAAAACCAATATATAAGAACCATAAGAGTCCGTGAGATCTGTAAACAGGACGACACACACACACACACACAAAACACACACAGAAATATGATGACAAAAGTTCAACTAATACAACACAATATAAAGATTGGTAAAGAGGACTTTAATATCCTCCCATATTAATATTATATACAAGCGTCATAATGAATTAGATTCACAAGAAACCGACAATAACATAAAACATTTTGTGACACCCGATGTTGACATACAAGGTGGCGGTTATTATGTAGATGATGATTGTGGTTTGTTGTATATCTCATACCATTGATGATGATGATGATTATGATTATTTATTATAAGCACAAATATTGCAAACCGGAAAAAGGAAACAGACAAACAGATATAGATTGACAATAACAAAGAAATAGAAAAAATGCAACGCTGTGTAACACCCAGCAACAATCAACGACAGGAATTGGATAATTTTCATTTTCATTATTTTTATTTTATTCAGAATGGACATAGACATCAATGAAACGCCTTTATAGCAATGTTTAGTATGTATTTCTTGAAACGTTCTGCTTGAACAATCAAATGGGTGTGTAACACAAATAAATTATGTTTTATCCTACCTAAAAAATCGTATAATGATGAAAACCAGTCACCGATTCTATAAGTTTATATATTTTCTCTGTAGACAAAATTGCCCTTTTCAGAATTGGAAAAAAGATGAGATCAAGGCTAATTTTTTTTCAAGTTTCAAATAATATGTTGTCGATGGATTATTAGGCACTAAAATACACATAAACACATTGAAATTTTAACATCGAATGGCCATCATATTTGGTGATGATGATATTTGACGATCTCTGAATGATTCACCCGTAGTTTGATATCGCATATGATTCACATAAAAACACACACAGCTGGCCTGCATTCGAAAGCAAGTTTAAAAAAAAAAAAAAAAATACAGAAAAACAAGGAAAAACACAGACACACTGCAAAAATGTCCGTGATACAAGTGAAATGAAAACGATGATGATGATAACTCTACGTCGTTGGTCGTCCAACCATAATGACGACGACGTGGGTAAAAAAGAAATGAAAGTTTTTTCTCTCACAATTTTACTAGCAGCATATTTTCATGTTGATTAAATAAATTCATGATGATGTGATTTTACTTTTATTCATGCTTCTATCTATCACTTTTGTCATTGCCACTATGACAAAGTAAATGTTTCAATTTATTTGGGCATGCGTTAATGCCTTCACTTGACTTGAAGGAATGTACGTGTACAAACGTTTTGGTAGTGGTAAAAGAATTTTTTTTTTTTTGGTTTTACGACTTAAAGAGATAGAAAGCTTTGCTATTAAAAGTTTGAATGGATGGATACAATTGGCTGGTAGATGTTGGCAGTAAGAATGGATCAATGATTATTCTTCTGTTCCATTCTGGATCTTGTAGACTTTTTGTTAGTAATTCCCATTACGCATGTTAAATGTGAATGTGTGTGTGTGTGTGTTGTCTTATCAAGCATATACAAAATATAAACATCGACCCAAGAATGGGCTAACCGAGAAAACGATTGAAAAAAAAGGATTAGGATTATGTAGGATAATGGGCGACAGGACTAAATTAAAAAGAGAAATGTTGCTTTAGTCGTTGGTTGTGGTGGTAGTAAACGACTTGGGTGGAATAAAACGAAAATATATTTACAGGATGAAGTTCATCTGCATCATCATCTGTCTGCATGTATTCATGTGTGGAATTTCGAATGAGAATGTTTATCACTCAGCCGTTTGTTGTTTGGTTGATTGGTCGTGATCATTTTTGCAGTAATGAAATGCTAATGCAGCATCTCGTACTGTAATAACATTGAAATTGAAGTTTTGAGTAAATAAATGATTATATCTAGCAAGCACATTCATGTTTGCCAATGTTTGTTGCAATATTCTGTCTAGTGATTACCAGGGTATATATTATATTATTATATTGACAGACCATATAATCTGGTAATGAAAGGATTCGATTGTCCAATACAAGTTATTGGTAAATGAAATTTTCATTTCGTGACTTTCACTTTTCGTAATCATTTTTACTGTGTCAGGATTGTTGATATAGAATAAAGAAAACAGAAAAAAAGACAAAAAAAACTGGTTTTACATCTCAAGTTTTATATCTTAATTTTTCTCTTTCTTTCTCGTTTTATCTCTGCAACGATACTACTCAATGATATAACAGTCAGTTGAGAATAAACATGTGAGATTGTATCTATAGAGAGAAATAAGAACAAGATTAAGGCAATATCGTCATTTGGGCCAGATAATCTTGGTCCATAAAAACCGGTTTCAATTCATTGTTCAAAAAAAAACTATGTTCTTGAAAAATTTGGTTGAAATTTTCAGAATTCTTGAAATTTCGAACCCTCGTACATCAAAATCCATTGAATGAGTTGAATAAATTGAAGTTTTTTTTTGGCAAACAAAAAATTGAAATTTTTCTGGTACATTATATATAATGTCTTATATTATTGAAAAAAAATCTATTTCAATGTTTAATAAATTTGATATTCATCTCTATGATCATCATCATCATCACCAATAATCCATTCAAAATTTCGGATTATTAATTATGAATATCATTATGATATCTATAATCACAATGGCATTGATGTGTGTGTGTGTGTGTGTGCCCCATTCATTAAGCTTCATTCATCACTGGTTTGGAACACTGTATTTTCAAAAAAAGAAAAAATAAATGATTTAATATATTCATAACCAAATGAAAAAAAGGCCTATACAGCTTTTCTCCTTTTTCTATTTGGATTTCAATATGAATGAACGGCAAATATGCAAATGTTCATCAGAATATTTCATTCGTTCATTCTGTGTTTTTGGAAACCATTGCCATTGGCTGCAATGTATGTTTAATAATATTTGTCTATATGATATGTGATATATTTTTGGCAAAAAAGACTACAGCCATGTATTGTATAGAATAAATGATAATCACAAGCAAACACACGAAGACCTAATCTATTATTAATCTCTAATCTTATCTTCTTGAACATTTTCAGTTTAGGTTCATCGTTTGATTATTCTCAGTACATACATTTAAATAATATTTTTATATAGAAAATGAATGCCATGATATTATTCCTTCTTCTTTTTCATAGCTGGTTTTCATATATTTGGAAAATATTCTCTTCCTTGAATTTATAGTTTTGTGTTTAATTCTACATTATTCATAAGTGAAAACAAGGCATTGGAATTTTTTTTCTTCTTATCCGATTTGTTTGCATCCATATAGAATTCTGCGGTATAAAGTTTTTTTGTATGTATATGTGTGTCATCATCAGAATTGTAGCAATATTTCTTCCGGGCTGACCAATCAAGATTTCAGCGGTTTTGTAATTTTTTTTCTTTATTGCTGTGGCCATTCATTTCAAATTGTAGTAAATGCAAGTACATTGCGTGTTGCCATACGGATGAATTCAGTTGGGCCATTCATGCATCAACATTCTATGAATATTCCAGGATGCGTAACGACGTCTCACGATTCTGTGTATGTATCGTACAGTTTCTATATAAATACCAAAATCGAAGCTTTGATATTTCCTTTTTTCTGACTAAAACATAAATTGACAAAAAAATCTTTAATGGAATCGTCTAACAATTCTTTTCAATGATTATATGGTTTCTATCCTCGATTCATTTCTTCCATCATCATTAGGAATTTCACACATGCATCCATTGATAATGATGATGGTAAAGACACTCGAGAATATCATTTAAGGATATTCAACTTACATCACTTCGAACAATCTGATTCAGATGATGACACAAATTAAGGCTTTGAACGAATTTTTTTAGATTCTCTAGTTTTTTTTATTCGTTTATCGTTATCATTCGATTTTGTTATCATCAATTCATCAAACGAACCATAGTTGATTTTCTGCTTATGGTTTGGTGATTCGTTCATCCGATTTGTAAAAGACTTGTATGAATGAACTTAACTTGAATATATGAAGCAAAACTTTCAGTCAAGTTAAAAACTGAAAATAGCGTTTCTATTCTGTTTATTCCGGTAATGAATCCGAAGAAAATCAACTTTGTCACGCTAACAACCAACCAACTGATTCGTTTTTCATTGTTGTTTGAGAACAAGAGTGGAGAATAATATTCCAATATATATTTGAATGAAATGAAAATGAACTTCAGAACTATAGAAAACATATGGTTCATATGATAGCAGCTTTAAGTCATTCTAATTTCGGCCTGTTCCATTTTTATAGTCTTTTATTGGAAAGTCATCCGAAATGACAGAATAGCATGCGCTTCGAAAATGTTTTAAAAAAAATTCCTGATTATTCTTTTCCATCGTTCAACAACCAATAACTAATAATAATCTTTTAGGCATCACCTATTGTTATCATCTAGTGTTGTTACGAATTTCATCATGGCCATTGTTGATTTTGACATTATCATTTCAATATCGAATTAAACTTGTTTGATTATTCAAAATCGCTTCAATGATATTTTTTTACCAAATGATGAATAGAAATATAATGTGAATTTTTCATATGGGATTTTCTTAATTTTTCCTTCATTACTTATTATTCATTTATTCTATCTTTATACTATTAATTTTCTAGTTTTTAAAACCATCCAGATCAAGAATCAAGAATTTTTTAATAATTTGTGGTGGATGGCTTTCATTGTATTATCGGTTCTTTCCATTCCACTTTTTTCTCCAGTATATATGATGAATCTTTTATTCATTTTTTTCAAGACCGATCCATAATCTTCATCATTATTATTTTTTTTTTCGATTTCCTGGATGATAATACTGTCACCATCCCGATAATGTGTGTACTGGACAATGGCATATAGAACATTTATCTAGCTTAGTTTTTACACTAGACTTGGGCTATTTCGACTTGTCAACTATAAAAATAGGACCAAACAATTTCTATTGTTTTGCTCGATTCTTATACCGCATTGATATAAACAAACAAATTCATTCATCCATGTGGCAGGATGTATATCGTGATCGGTTCTTTTTCGTAGAAAAAGAAACGTTCAACGTTTCTCAATTTCGATTCACAGAAGGTTTTTTTTATCTAACTTTTTGTTCATAGTTCGGTTATACGGTTAATATACAATTGCTCGAATAAATTATGTATCTCTAAGGTTTGAGCACACACAAACAAATGGTGCGTACAAACGACCAAAATAAGGCTTATCCACCAAACTATATGACTTTGAATTTGATTTTTTTTTCGTGCGAATAAAATCCCATGAATTTCTAATTAAAAATTAATCATACACATACACATATCCCACAGTTATCCAGTTTGATATTATTTTGAAGAAAATCTTTGCTTGTAAAACATTTAAACATTTTATCTCATTTCATTTTTCAAAATGATCAATTTGGTTGTTGCTTGCATTGGACTTCATATGTATGGCTGACCAACACAGAACTAATGTTACCAACAAAAATCCGTATTATTATCATCGTTTCAATTAGCAAAAAAAAGTAGAAATTGTCTCCAGAGACTTATTACAAGAAGACTGAATGAATCGAATCTACCCAACAAGCAGGAAAAAATCTCGATTATATTATATACATCCAATCAAATGGCCAAATAATTTCATCCAAACACTTTTTTATGCTTCGACCATTGTCTTATGATTATTATATTGTAATGGTTATTGGCTGGTGGCGCCGCCAATGGTGAGCGGTGATATTAACACGTGAAGTGTGTAATGTTTTTATATTTTGTAAGTTGCTATTTGACTGTCATTGAATAAAGTCATATTTTTGTAGATTTGAAAATAATTCTTGCATTTATTTGTGTGATTGCAAATGATAATACATTACAATATAAAACTATGCAGAGTAAGTTGTATAATTTCCAATATAAAAATTTTAATCGAACTGTACCATATATATCATATTAAAATTCAGCTTCCAGGTATGTGTTTTGTTCGTTGCTATGTAGCATATTATTATCATCATCATCATTATTATTATTATTATCTACATTGGTTGATCCACGTTAAACAACCGGCCAATTTTTTGAACTTGAGAAAGAAAAAAAATTCCAAATTATATAGAATGAATACAATCTGTGATTTTATCAGCGACAATTTTTCAAAGACGACAAGATCGATGAAAAACATCATCATTACAATGTAACTTTGTGCAAAATCATTTAGACACATGTATAGAGTCTAGACAACGAATGTTTTTCATAGTATAAATACTAGGTTTAAAAATTACCATTCACATTGAATCTTCTATATTCTATGTAATGTCGACAATTTTCATGAAGAATAAAATAAAAGAAGGTAATGAGAATGAATGAATGGCATTAAAATTGGTCAGTTGTAATATACAATCAAACATTCATTCAATGATGTGTACGAAACTAATACAATCACCATTCTACCAAAAGTTTAGATTCTTTTTTTTGGTTGTTGTTTTTTTTAAATCTTACTACCTACGACCATATTACATGCTGTCATAATGTAGACATTCATTCATTTGTTTATCCCAATATTTGTTGTTTTTTCATATTTTACAGGGTTTGGTTCACAAAAAAAAAAATTATCCATCTTTTTTATTATTCTTTAGAATCATCTTTAATGATGATCATCATGACCGAAATACCGTTGGTCTTGTTTGCGTGTGTGTGTGTGTGTGTATGAATTAATGGGCGAAACCAAAGACCTAAACGAAATGGGCTTACCAGCATAAGCTCAATAGATTGAAATTATGTCTGGAATTTCAATTCATTCTCACCGCCATCATCGTCATGATGATAAACATTTTATTTTCTAGTTTTTTCTCGTTTTGTTTGGCTGAAATGGCATGTTGGTGTGTTGTGAGGTGAGAATTTCAATATAACGACAAAAGATGTTTAGTTTACTATGTGTTGGTTACTTTATTCTTGGTGTTTATATATGTGTGCAATCGAATTCATGAATGATGAAAAACAAAAAAAAGTTGTTTTTAGATCTGATGGAGAAATTTTTCCTCTTTTTTGTGTGTTCAAGGTTTCAAGAAAGGTCCAGGACAGATCCAGAGAGAGAGAGAGAATGAGAACGATGAAGCCTTATTGCATCAATAAATGAAGAGTAAATATTCCATTTTGTTTCTACAGCTAGAATTATTCAAGTCAGAATCTATTTGTCCATCTTGTCTTCAATAGTATGACTTATATCACAAGATCTTTGGAACAAAAACGATTCCATAGTGGGTTTCAATCATAATACACATGGCAAATTTATTATTAAATAAGGAACGTTAAATATATCTTGGATATTAATAATAATAATTTTAAGTGATTACAAAAAGTTTTGAATTTGATGTGTGTATGTGTGCGTTTGTTCAGTGTAAATTGTTCTAATGAATTTATGTATTCTAAATTTAATTGTTGTCTGACGTTGTTGTAATTTGTACAGTATACTATATCCATCTATTTATTTATCAATTCTGTAAACTTAATATGTATGTACAGAACATAATAGTTAGTAGTCATGCTAATAAGAAATTCGAATTTTGAATTTTCTCTTACAATTAAACACAGAAAATAATGATGGTAGAATGAATTCAAAATATCGAATTATTTTTCGAACAAAACATTAAGGAATCTAATTTATTATATTATCCTTTTTCATTTTTCCAATTTTTTTTTTTTTTGGTTGTGGCCGCCATTCGTTTCAGGCTCTTCTCCATGACATTTTTATCCTTTCATCATACAATTATAAATGGTGATTCATAAAAGTTGGTGTTTTTTTTGTGTGTGTGTCCGTGTATTATTCGTGAATAATTGTAATAATTATCAATTACATATTGTAATTATCTTTTTCATGCTGTTGTTTGATGACACAATTTTTTTTTGATTTTTTTCTTCACTAATGCTTAGCTAAACTAAGAATACATCTGAGTGGCGTTGATCCCAAATACCGTTGGAACATTCCAACTACGACAACACACTCTGAATGCTCAACTATGGCAACGATCCATTTTCATTGGCATCAACTAAATGTTTGTGCATTGTACTCTGACAGTGTAACGTATGCTGTTTTTTGAATTCAGGCATCGAACTCATGGTGAGTTTTATCATCATCATCATCATTAGCAATACCAAAAGCCCATATGAAAGTTTTCAGTCCGGATTTTTTTTTGTGGAACCATCATCGAATCAGCAGCAACAGTAAATAGCTATAGCTGTTTGGTTACCCTAATTATATCCAAATATATACATCAAGCCCAGAAGTTCATAGTAGCAGCCATATCATTATCATGATTACATATTGAATTATAGTAGTCAAAAGTTTTTTCCCATTCAGCCAAAATCACTGCTTGTCTTGGGTGTGTAATGATAATGAACACATTCTTTAAGATTTGTTGCCATTGAAAGACTGTGGTTAACTGTATTATTTAAATTTTTCACATGAAAATTATCGCTAAAATTCAAAAAAAAAAATTCCGTATTTTTTTGTGACATGTTCAAATCCTATTCAAATAAAACACATGGTATGTAACTATTCAGCAAGTATGAAAGTCTATTATATAAGAATCAAAATCCAAAGTTCTTTGTTTTTGTTCTGATAAAAGATAAAATGTTGTGATAACAACACCACGACAGTAACAAAAATCAAAATTCAGTAGCATCTGCTCTATTTTCATTTTTTTTTTTTTTTTTTTTTGGAACAGACAACAACATCATTCATTTCCTTTGAAATCATATACCAAAAACAGGATGGTGTAAAATTTTTTTTTGATATCATAACTTTCATTCACTCTTGAGAAAATGTTTTTTCACTTTTATATTGAGATAAAAAATTGAAACAAGTTTAGTTTTTTGGAATTTTTTTTTATCGAATTTGCATTCTCATTTTTTTTTTAGTTGCCAATCATCATGTTGTATTTGATGATGTCCCGATCGTAACATGTTAAAATATCCATAAATATGTGGTCACTCAAGAATTTAATTTAAATACACACTCAAAATTATGATGATGAAATTCTTCCATATTGTCACATTTAATCATCAATTTCACTGGAATTGACATCACTTTTGCTTTTAATGAGTTTTAATTTATCAGAGGAAAATAAAACACATTTTTTTGAAGAGTACATGACCAGAATCGACCATCAACTTCTTGATCATTATCATTATTTTATATTTCGAATTATGAGGAAAATATTTTTTTTTGTTTTGAAATCCATGGATGTTTGCCATTTTTAGGAAAAATTTCAATAAATTTCTGTTTTCATTTGAATTCATCCGTACCACTTTCTTTCGTAATAATTTCTTTTCTTATTCTCTTTGGATGATTATTGTAATACGATATTACCGATTTTAATTTCAAAACGAAAAGAAAACAGTGCCTAAAAATTTCGATTTTATTCGTCTTTATTCAAGCAAAAAAGTTTCCGTATTACAATCATCATTGTTTAGCGGCAAAACGAATTTTCTTCTCTTTGTTCTTGGTTCCGTTGTTTCATTTTCAAAAAATTTCTTTCGGAATGTTTCACCAATTGTGATTAGAGATTTCTGCCTGGATGAATTTTTTTTTTTTTTTTGGCAATTGGAACACCGGTTGGTTGGCCAAATGTATTCTAGAGAATTCCATTTGTCGTTTCCTTCATTTTATCTCTGAAAATTCAAGAATCCATACCATCTTTTCTGTGTGAATTTGGTCATGGTTCATTCATATTGGTGATATGAAAGTATGCATATGATCTATGATTTAATCGGATAATCTTTTTATAACTGTAATGTAATTTTATTTAATCTAATCACTATTGTAATGGATCATAAGTAATAAACTGGCCAAAAAAAATCATTTTTCAAGGTCGACTATCATAATGCATGCATAGCATTACATTGCTGTGTTTATGTGTGTATTTGGTCCATATCTGGGTCTCTTTTTTTTATCAAAAAATTGGGCCTGCTTTCACCATTTTTTTTCCAAAATTCGATCATCAAGCTATATAATAATATATTGCAAGATTCGATCTGTAATACGAACAACAAGAAAGAAAAAATAATGGAAAATCAAAATCACTATAAGTTAGTGTTTGTTTGCGTTTATGTAGAAATTTTTCTATTTTGTTTGGTGTTCGCTCAGTATGAGCTCGTTATTTTTTTTTTTGCATTTCGTCGTCATCTTCTTCGAAGACGAGAAATAAAACTTCATTGAAATGTCAGAAGCAAGCATACCGCCATCGAACCGGTTCGTGATGATGATGATGATGATGATGGTTGGTTAGTTGAAGTTGCCCTCAAGGCTATATATTGAATGAAAATTGAATGGAAAAAAATTTATGTTTATGAACGAACTTCATTCATTTTGTGTGTGTGTGTGTGTGTATTCGTGTTCTCTATGCGTATACGATGAATGAGGGTGTATGTGTGCACGAACACAATGAATGAAGCCAAAGTTTTTTTTACGAATTTCTAGAATCGTTCTACAAAAAAAAAACAAGAAATTGATGCCGGCCCAGATGATTCAAGTTTTAACCATCATCATCATCATGATCACCATCTTTGATTGTATCGTCTTCGTATTCGATTCGAATATCTGAGCCACAAAATCTTATTAGTCGCGACCGATTCAAAAAAAAAACAACAAATCGAATTTGTAGAATAAATTTTTACTTTTTTACTTGAAATCTGACAGCCGAATCAATCCATCCCTCAGCATGATCATCAGCAGGCTTCGAGTATTAGTGTGTTTGGGTTGAATTTTTTGCTCAAAAGTTGCAATGAAATACTGATTCGTTCCAAGGTTTTTTGCTTGACTTGCTCTCTTTTGACGACAACGTGTGATGGTTTCTCTAATATTCGACTTGGATTCGAATATTTTCGTTTATATTGTGGAGGCAACGAATGTAGAGCACATATATACACACACACACACACACACAAAAGCATTGCTACGGTCAATTTTCTATGCTTATCATGCAGGCTGAAACATGTCCTCTTCTTCGATTGAATCGCAAAAAAAAAAGTTTATCTTATTCTGCCCAATCAACAACAACACCAACAAGACCAAACTTTCATTTAGATCAAGTTAAAACAGAATTGTAGAGAGGGGAGGGGTCGTCCTAGTCATTCACTTCATATAATGAGACCGAAGACGACCCGAGAAATCCTAGTTATATTTACGATGTACCCATAATAAAAAAAAGAGTAATTTGATCGAATTGTGTGGAATATAGAAAAACTATCAATTTTCCTCATTTAGTTCTTCATTTGGGCGTTTGAATGATGGATAGTGAAAGTTTTGTTTTTCAGTATTGTTTTGAAATGCCGAAAATCCTTGTATTTGTTTGTATCACACACACATCTGGAAATTTTTTGTTTGAAACACCATTGAAAACAAGATCAGAATGTATGACAACACTTGTATAGCTTGATTTCATAGGATTCATAAAGGTTTCAATTAGAATTTCATAAGTCCTTTTGTCCTATATTTTTTTTATATTTGATCCAGTTTAAAATGATTCAAGTTTCATGCTTAGAAGCTGGTCCTAATTATCAATTAGTTTCCGGTTTAAAATATTCTAGTTTAGCAATCATCATTCCAACCATGAGAGTTCACAAATTCTGCTAATGAATCATATTTTTAAAAAAGAGCTACATATAATCCTGTCTCAAAGAGATACCAATATCTTTCGACACAATTAAAGTTTGTACGACGAATCCAACTAAAGTATAGTTTTTAACCGTTTCTATTCGTCGTCGTCGTAATAGCTAACGCGCGTAAATGTGAACTTGGAGAAAAAACCGGAATACGTGCGAATAGAGATTTTTTTCATCATTTTCCTGGGGCGTCCTCTCACGGTGACCTCTAGACGGTCAAAGTTCAAATACGAAATATATTATAAACATCATTGTTGAAATGGTAGTAGCATAGTTTAAAATTATCTTAACATAATATATAGTTTAGTAGCATAGAATCAAAGTGTTTGTGTGTGTATGTATTGTAGGCATATTTCCTGAACGTCTTATAGCTCCTATTGATGCTGCTGCTGCACACGAACTATAGCTAAAGCATAATATATATACCAGTAACACAAGTGAGAATTATTGTTTAGGATTCGAAACCGAGAATCAAGATCGATAAGACTATAGTTGACACCCTACCCTCCGCCATACACAGCAGGACCAAGTTCTTTTTGTCTATGTATACATACAAACAGCTACCCTTACATGTTTGATCCATTTAGATTGGCTCATTTTTTCCAAGTGTTTAGAAGAAACAACACACATTTAACAACAAACCCAGGGACGAGTCCATTTTACCCAATAATTTTATACGATAGTCAAATTTTTTTTTTTGCGGAAAAACTTTTAAAACAAAGTTTCGCTTTACACCAATTGCCAATTACATTGAATTGAAAAAAATGGCCAAAAGAAAACGTCACATACACTGGTTTCAATTAATCTGATTGAAGAGATTCAGTATTTTTTACAGTTTAATAAAAATTTTAGATCATCATTATAGTTGTAGTAAGGAATTGAACATAATTGAATTTCCTATTTGACAGGTGCCCGGTGCTGAGGTTTTGAAAGATACAAGATGAAATTTTCTATCATCATCTTGCAATTTGTCATTAGTTGGAAATTTTTTTTTTCCTCTGAATAAAGATTCTGAAAATTTATTTGATTTTGCAATAGACACAGTATGATGATGATGATGATGATAGACAGGATGTACCATCATTGATTTTAATATTGATAATCGATTCAATGATAATGGATAAGACAAGAAGTCATAAATCTTCATAATCAATTCGAAATGATTATGGCTGATCAGATCAATGTTTTTTTTTCTGAAGAAAAAAAAAGTTTTCCAAGAAAAGTAATTATGATTCTACATGCGAGCATTTTAAATATTGAGAAATTTTTGGAAAATTTATTAACAATTTCCTGTTTCATTTCTAAATTGGTCGTTTTTGCAATTTTTTTTCCAATGTGAACATAGCGTTGTATCTGATGATGGATTATATGATGAATTGGAATTCTCAATAAAAAAAAATTGCTAGAAAAATTATACGAATTCAAAAAAAAACTTTACATTTTAATTTTGTTACAACAAAAAATGGGTTCACCAACATCATATTCACAGAATCATGTCTTTTTGTTGAGAAAGAGAGAGAGAGAAAAAAAGACCATAGGGCAATTTTATAGAATAATAATTGGCTGGTCCATTGAAATGAAAATTTCGTGACTATCACTGATGAGATATCATCAATTTGGAAAGAGAAATAAGACTAACTTTTAAACCAACTTTGGTGATGATGAGATTATGATGATGATGTTGATGATGATGGACCCAAATAGTAAAAGTTCGAAGATAAAAAGTCTAATAATGAACACTGTGGTGCTATTTTTTTTCTTCTTAGCTCATCAGAAAATTTGAAGCGGTCAAAGTTCAAAGACGAAAGAATATTGTTTCATTATAGATTTTAGTAAATTCACTGATGAGATATCTAAGTCACTGTGTGTATCG